TTGCATGTTGTTGTGGTAGAAATGTTCAGGCAGTCTATTTTGGGCAGTCAGTTGTAAGGATTTACCTTATTTGTATCCCTGTGCTGTCTGTTGTCTTAAAACAATTATATTGTGGTCTTAAAACAATTATATTGTATATATTATTTGATTTTATAGTTGTTTTCCATTGTTCATTTTAAGTGAGTATAAATTCAGACTGGTAATATCTATTAGGTTCTAAATGCATTTGCTTTTGTTATTTTAATTTTATATATAAAAATTTTACTAGATATTACATTTAAATAGAAGAGTGATTTAAACTGTTGTAATCTGAACTGTGTGTTTCAAATAATGAAATGTATTGAAGATATTTCATGGCTGGGTATGGTGGCTCAGGCCTGTAATCCCAGCACTTTGGGGAGGACAAGTTGGGTGGATTGCTTGAGGCAAAGAGTTTGAGAAGAGCCTGGGCAACAACACAGCGATACTCTGTCTCTACAAAAAAAAAAAAAAAAAAAAAAAAAAAAAAAAAAAAAAAGAATGTTAGTATCTCTTGGCATGTTAGTATCTCTTCTAACTTTGAGCTTTGTACAACTTTAGGAACTAGATTAGTAATATTGTGCCTCAAAATTAACATGAAAACTATATTTAAATCTATTATAAGCTTTGGGGGGGGCTTACGTAACTATTGACATTTTCCTGTAAGCAAATGATCTATGGCTGATCTTGAATTTTGTGTCATTTGTATTTTGAAAGAAGACAACGTTTTGCTTGTTTCAAGTTACCTTATAAGTTTAACTACTTACCTCATCAAATGTGGTGTAAAGAGCTGTTGACTTCAGAAAAGGAAAGAAACAAAAAGAAACAATTAAAACGAAATACAAATAGAGTAACATCATTCAAAGTAGGAAAAAAATTATTGCACATAGCCACAAATCCGAAACCTTCTTGTAAAAATAAACATTTGCCTAGCAACACTCTGGGAAGAATGTTATTGACAAAATAAACACATCATATTAACAAAAGGAAAATACAGTAAACCCAACAATCGAGGTGAAGCACTGCCCTTACAAATACTTTAGCCCAGTTATTTCTGAAATTTGAGACCCCAGACTTTACAAATTGCTACTCACAAAATAGAATATTTCTATGGGTATTTGTGCTCAAGTGAGCACGATTTAACAGTTTCTCCAGCAGATAGCCTTTGCTTTTTTTTTACACTTTATTTATATGCTTCTTGGCATAATCAGCACAGTCTGCAGACACGGCTGCCTCAGGACTCTGATGCCAACTTCAACATCGTCCAGACGTGAAGCCCTGGGCCACTTACACCACTCCACAGACTCAGGCCTATCTCTAAGGTGTTCTGGGGGGATTCAGTGAGATTTTACACATATGACAAAATCAGTATTTTGTGTAAACTAGCTCTCAACAAATGTTTTCTTATTTATTGATGCTTAATAACCTTTTTCTATATTACCAGTGTTTGTCAATGTTTATTACTATGCAGATGCCTCTAAAATCTGTATCCTTAGCTCTCAAACCTGTCTTGCCAGCCCTGAAATTCTTCCTGAGCTCTGTTCTAAATATCAAATTGCCGGCCGAGCCCAGTGGCTCACGCCTATAATCCTAGCACTCTGGGAGGCCGAGGCAGGAGGATTGCTGGAGGTCAGGAGTTCAAAAGCAGCCCGAGCAAGATCTAGACCCCGTCTCTACTATAAATAGAAAGAAATTAATTGGCCAACTAAAATATATAGAAAAACTTAGCCAGGCATGGTGGCGCATGCCTGTAGTCCCAGCTCCTCGGGAGGCTGAGGCAGAAGGATCGCTTGAGCCTAGGAGTTTGAGGTTGCTGTGAGCTAGGCTGACGCCACGGCACTCACTCTAGCCTGGGCGACAAAGCGAGACTCTGTCTCAAAAAATTAAAATAAAATAAAATAAAAATAAAATAAAATATAAAAAATAAAATAAAAATCGAATTGCCAACCACATATCCCCACTTTTTCTAAAAAGCTGAATATTTATCTCCATAAACTACACATGCTAATACAATTAGTATAAATGTGTTCTCTTCCCTAATATATGAGCTTGTTAAAGGTCAGAAAATCTTATTCATAGTCATATTTTCCATTATCTTAAAGAGACTTTATGCCATAAAAATGTGCAGTAAACAACACTAACATTTGCATAGCATTTGGTAATCCACAAAACACCCTCACATGCGTGTTACCTTACACACTGATCCTGCTCACTCTGGATGGAAGCCTGAGCTAAACCTTAAGACATTCTTTGATAAATAACGTGCTCAGTGGAAACTTTCGTGTTATCTGTGCAGTCAAATGACAAGCAAATCACCAAGGTTACTTACGCCACGTGGTGCCCCGTGGCTGAGCCAGCGCGCAGCCCCAAGCGCCACGGAGTGAGCTCTGGCGAGCAGCCCTAGTTCCCTCTGCCAGAGTGCGCCGCACACCGCGAGCTGAGCAAAGCCTACAGCTAAGGCACCGAGCGCGCCGGGGGCAGCTCTCAAGAACCGGTGGAGACCTCTACGAAAAGCACACAGTCAGGGAGACCGACTGCCTCGGAGAGTGAGTAAAGGCAGACTGCAGACAGAAGCGCGATGCCCCTGTGGGGAGCCTGGGGACAGGCATGTTCCTGAGCTGGGGCGGAGCCTGCCTTAGGCTGCTGGAGCGGAAGGGAACGGGACGGAAGGAGGGGTTGAGCCAGGACAGCGAGGGCCAGAGGCGCCGGCACACAGTGAGAACTTTACTTGGTAGGTGCTGGACGCCATGTCAGGTGCTCAAGCAAATGCAGACCACAATGGCACAGGAGCATCGGCTTAGAAAGTAACTGGCGGCAGCATGAGGATGCATTAGAGGAGGAGGAGAACGGGGACTAGGGGGAGAGCGCCCCGTGGAGCGGGTCACCGGCGCAGCAGCAGGACCAGGAAGCACCCTGTGCTAAGGCACGGAGTGCGCGGAGTGCGCGAGGAGGAGGATGGGGGCCGGGAGGCAAAGCGCTGCTCCAGTTTGGCGCAGAGAGACTAGGAGGATGAAGACGACAGACAGGAATCTCAGAGAGCAAACACGCCTTTGTGAAATTCCAGATGCCGAGGGAAAACACACATGAAGATCTCCAGTGAACAGATGCAAACCCAACTCTGGAGACTAAAGACATGCCAGTGAGGCAAGGCCGTGGGGAGCCCGCGCTCCCAGCACTGCTTAGCTGTGTCCAACCTGTGTGACACGCTGGGTTTTCATCGACACGGGGTTCACAATTTTTTTTTTTTTGAGACAGAGTCTCACTTTGTTGCCCAGGCTACAGTGAGTGCTGTGGCATCAGCCTAGCTCACAGCAACCTCAAACTCCTGGGCTCAAGCGATCCTCCTGCCTCAGCCTCCCGAGTAGCTGGGACTACAGGCATGCGCCACCATGCCCGGCTAATTTATATTTATATATATATATACATACATATATATATATATATATATATATATATGTATGTATGTTTTTAGTTTTCCAGCTAATTTTTCTATTTTTAGTAGAGACGGGGTCTCGCTCTTGCTCAAGCTTGTCTCGAACTCCTGACCTGGAGCGATCCTCCCGCCTCGGCCTCCCAGAGTGCTAAACAATATTAATACTCTCTAATAGTTGTTCCCACAGAGGTGAGAACTGGAGGCGTGGGACTGTGTGAGATCTCCCGGACAGAACAGAAAGAAAGGACGGGGCTGAACACAGAGTTCTGAGGAATGCTCACATGACGGGGCAACAAGGAAAGGCTGAGCTAAGGCGACAGCCCCAGGTGTAGCAGGCTGCCGTCTGTCCCTCGATGCCCTTCCCTTCCTCCACCAACAGGTCTCCCACGGTGGGCCGGGCACCCACCACCCAGAAACACAGGCCTCCAGATGGGTGTGGCCAAGTGAGGGTTGAGAGGACATAGCGTGTGCCACCTCCAGGAAGTGTCCTTAAAGAGGAGCACACCCTATTTCCCTCCGTCCCTGCTGGTGGGGTGCAGTGTGACCCGGCATAGCCCTCGGGGGCCATGAACAAGAGTCCTCTGCTGAGGCAGGCGTGACCATGTCTGTGCAGGAAGACATACATGGGGACAGCCCATGCCGAGATGGGGCAGCCACCTCCTGGGTGGGAGAGGCAGAAACACATGTCCGCCCTGTGTAAGTCCTTGCTGTCATTCTGTTTTGAGACCGCTGTCACTAGTAGCAGAATCGAATCAGGGCCATTACAAAGGGGCAGAAATGAGAGATTCTAGGAGCCGGAGGAGCTAGGTTGGAACCTGAACGAGACACTTGCCTCAGACAGGGCAACCGGGGCTCACGTGGGGACCCCGAACAACAGACGTGTGTGCGTGACAACAGCTCCCACGATCTACCGTGTGGCAGGCACTGCACTAAAGCACCTATAAACCTTACAACTTCCTAGAAAGGCATCACCTCCCATTTTCAAGCTCAGTGTGTTTTTATTACTTTCCCAACGTCAGTTTCAACCCAGGTCTGCCTCGGTCTCTCTCATCATACTATCCCAGGTGTGAAGGGCACCACGGCACTTCCCGTGGTCTGCACAGCCATCACACACACTCAGAACGCCGCCTCCTCACCGTCGCTGGAGAGAAGCAGCAAGTGCCTGACGCTGTCATGGCATCCCCGAGCTTAAAAGTCTACTTGGAAATACCACAGAACTAACCAAAACAAGCATAAGTAACAGACAGAAACCCTACAGTTGTTATAACTGGAAGCCACAGAAAATGACAGTGAAGGTTTCCAAAGAAACGTCTTAGCTAAATAGTTCATTTCATCAGTAAATAAGATAACTTTCTTTTAAAACTTTCAATTTGTCACAGAAAACCGTCAATAAGCAACAACAGTCACAGTCAATGGCAAAAGCTCGTGTACCTCAGCAGTCAGGAGTCTCTTTGGACATCCGTTAACTGTGGCAAAAACTTTCCTAAGTCCAGTCTCCAGCTGGGTCAGTAACAAGATGGCACAGTCGGCAAACCTGCGAAATTGGAGAGAAAGAAGCAAACTTCCACGTTGTGAAAATAAACACTGGCACCAACTTCATCACAGCAACTCCGCTGCAGTCCAGACATGACCCACGTGGTGCGAAAGGCAAGGAGAAGTGACATTACTCGATAATATGAGAAACAAAAACAATCAAAATTTCATTAACTAGTGATCTTAAAACCATTTTCCAGTGTTTAATGTTTGATAAACCATTTTTAGTAGCTTCAGTAGAATAAAATGTCATCAAAGATCTCCCTGACTCATTTCATCACTCCTTAAGAAAACTCAAATACCAGAACGTTAGTGGGTTTTCAAGCCTTAAAAACGTATCAGGGTAATGTCTCCTGTGTGGCGTTACGGTGACTCATCGACCTCTGACACCACCATGCACATCTGGTCCCAGTGAGCAGGACGGAAACAGGGACAGAGCTGGCTCGTCCTGGTGTCGTGATTCTCTAACACTACTTCCCTCGCAGAAAGAACTTAACAACCTATTCAAAAGTGAATTCTGAAAAATAATTGTATCCACTGAACCGAAAGGATGACATGCAAAGATTAAAACACAACTACCAGCTGCCTCGTAAGTAATTATATGAAGGTATTTCACGCTCAGGTCCACGAGTTAGCCCACCTTTCTTTCCTTCTACTCCACAGCAAAGCGTGGGAGCTATGGGCGGCAAGGGCCGGCTCCCACGATCAGAAACCGCTCTGTGATGCACCCTGCCTTTACCTGTGTGCCTTGAACTTGGCCAGTGCAGTTTCCCAGTAGGGTAACATAATTTCCAATACAAAAGTAGACTTCACCATCACTTCTTCTAATACTGAAAGCATCTCGTGAGTAACATCTGCAAAATAGCAAATAGTTTCAACACCATCACACAAGGCAGGAGCACACGTGGGGAGTGCTGCCAGTGAGCCGACCCCTGCAGGTGGGTGGGCCACATCCTGCAGTAGGGCTCCCACCAAAGGGTACGATTGCCCTGACCAGAGCCAGAGGCACCGCTGACCACAGGTACCTGGGAGAATGGGGACCTGGAACACTGCCCGTCTTTAGCGATTTGGGTGAAAACAACTCTACAGAGAGTTGAGGGCTGACTAGCTGAGCACACTCATCAAGAAAAGTAAAATGTACTCTCAGGAGGCACAGAAGACCCTCACACCTGCAGTCCCAACCCCCCGCCATGGACCGGGCCACGGCCTGTTAGGGACCAGGCTGCAGAGCTCCGCCCCCCATTCCATCCATGGAGAAACTGTCTTCCATGAAACTGGTCCCTGGGGCCAAAGGGTTGGGCACTGCAGCTTTACACCACAGGCACTTCTGGCATAATGACTGTGAGTACAAAGGAACAAGAGGTGAAAGGAGAAGGAAATTATTCAGTAATTCCATAATTACTTAACTATTTAATGATCTTCTGTTATGAAACAGCCCTAATCTATTTTTATACGTCAACACACCTGAGGAGTAAACCAGCTCTAAACCGACATGGACCCCCAGGGCGGTGACTCCCAAAGACTCCCCCATCAGCCCTGGGGGCACAGCGGGAAGAGGCAGAGCCCCCTACAGCAAAGTGGAGACATCTGTCCAGCAACTGTGAAAGCCATCTTGACACAGGAGAGTAACTACTTTATTTCACCTCAAGAGTCTGGGTCTAACAGCTATTTATTGACTTTACAAATATCTTTGCAAAGAGATATTAAGGGAGAAAATGTGAAATGTAGTACTTGCCAGGAAAAACGATCAAATCTTCTAAGCTTGTAAAAGTCACGAAAGACCGGTGTGCCAATGTAAACCGAGTTTGCTGAAGGTACCTCTTCAGTAATTGGCCCAATCCTGCCGTCAGCAACACCATCATCGCACAGTATCTAGGGGAAAGCACCACAGATCTGTCAGAAAATGAACTCCACCATACACTTTCACAACAAAAAGTTTAAAATTCAAAGCAGAGCACCATTCAATTGCACAAAACTCTGCCTAGATGTAGGGATTAAGCTGTGCAGTGAATGGCTGGGAGGAACAACATCTCTGAGACTCCTGAGCCGAAGCCTCAGGGTCTCCCCTCCCCAGGAGGCGTCCAGCATCACCTACTTCTGGGGCAGCCCCTGCACTCGGGTTTGGGTCACTGGAACCATAATCCTGTCCCCACCCTGGTTACTAAGCTGGTGAGATTCCATTTTATCTTCAAATTTCTATCTCAAAACTCTCTCACCTTTCACAAAACACATCTTTCCTTCCTACGAAATTCAAGATAAAACAAACTCTTTAGCAGACGCAAAGAGGAGGAACATGATGCCACCGGCAACTTACTTTGGAGAAACTTCTCGTGGCGACGCAAACCCATGCCATAAGATGTTGCGCAGGTTGAGACCACACGGAGAGCCCAGGAAAACCTTCAGTACATCCATCTAATCCCGGTAAAGACAGAAGATCATTAAATAGTTAAACAATTATGCAAGTACCGAGTAAACCCATTAATACCAAGATGTGAGTTTTCATCTTTAGAAATAACAGAGCCAAAAGTTTGGGCTGGCATATAGCAGTCATAATAACAATAAAACCAAGATTTATTGAGCACTTAAGACATGCCAGACACATTTTCGTGTATTGGTCAACTCACTCACCCTCGGCACAACTTATGAGGAAGGAACTACCATTATCCCAGTAAGCAGGTGAGAAAAACACAAGCGCAGGAAGGTAAAACCAAGGTTTCAAAGGCTACAAAGTTTGTAAAGAGGGGTCAGATCTGCCCCAGGCTGCACAGCTATAACACTGTGCACGGAACATGCCCAACATCTAAGCACGATAAAACAGAGATGATGATCAGAAACTCGGTGTTGGGCAGTGTGTGCTGTGTGAAACAGAGGCTGCAGGGTCACAGCCGGACAGTGAGGCTCCCGCCCGCCCACCTCCTGGCCGCCTGACTGGAGGCTCCTTGCACCTGCTCCAGTCTCTCTACCTGCAAAGTGAAGCACAAACCCACACGGGGTCCCCTTATGAGACCACAGCCATCACGACGAGCACAATAAATGCTTCTGTTTGGAGCACCAACCACACTTTAGAAGAGATTCAGAAAAAATGGAAGATGCTCAGAGACTGAGACAACTTAAAACTATGTCAGAGGAGAAAGAACGGCTAAGCCTCCAAAGACTCAGAGAAGAAATGCAAGCTGTTGACACGCACATGAATGACTGCTACTGAGAGGGAAAATAGACACACTCCAAAATTCCCTCAGCGGGGAGACCACAGGGGTGGAAACAGCAAAGCGGGATTCGACTGGACGTAAGGATGTTTACCCACCAGTTCCTCAGTGTGGCTTCAGGAAGTCTTTCTGCTGCCCCATTAATTTTTTAACCCTCTTTGCTCACACCAGCTGGGCAATCAGAAATGTACATGCCAGTGACCACGTAAGATCACCTGGGGGCTGACACTGGCTGCAGCAGGCAGGCAGATCACAAAGAGCAGAGCAAAGAAACGGAATTTAAGAGCTCAGTGTCACAAGAAGTGTACACGTTTTCTTCATTCCACACCCTCCATGCATCCACAGGAAAGCATCGCCCAAGACAGATTTCTTATCCAAACCTCCTGGCGAGTGAGCACAGCCTCTGTCTGAGGCTCTCCTGGCTGCGGCTTCACCTCCCCCCGCCTCACCCGTTGCCGAAAGGCCTTCACTGGTCTTAAGGCTCCCGGCTGGGTGCTCTCAAGGAGATGCTGGTAACTAGTGTGCAGCTCTGCCTGATTTTTTAACATCTCAGATTTTTTCACTCTAAGTTTAAATGGCCACAAAGGCATAATTTTGCATGTTAAAAATATTGATATCTTAGGATAAACCTGTAACATCACCCTTTTAAAGGGTTACAATTTTATTCTGGATTGAGTTAGTATTAGAATTATTAATACGATTGGCTAAAGCAACACGCTCAGATTGCCCCCGCAGCAGCCCAGGGGCTACTCTCACTCAGGACACGGAAGCCTCCTATGCACTGGGAGAGGGAGACTGTAAGAGGGAGGGTGGGAAGGAGGAACGTGCTTGAGTCACCAATACGATCACAAAAGCACAGCTAACTCCGCACAGCTAACTCCGACTGTTTTGCGCTGCACTTTCTCCATAAGTTGTAGACGAGCTAGCTTACCACAGGCTGCCCAAAGACTCCCGCAAGCTCCTCAGAGGCGAGCAGATCTCTTAAGAGAAAGGGGCATTCCTTCCCAACCAGTAAAAATACCTGAAATTCAAACAAAACTGGGTAACAACTGCATTATGATGAGCCAATAATTGTTAAGAAAAAACACTATCCAAAAGCAACTGTTTGTACAAATGAAGGGAGAAAATATTTGACACCAATGTTTTGGTTTCAAAATCATTAAAAAATATTGATATTAAAAATCCATACCAAATGATTGTATTTTATTCGAAAAAAAATACTTAAAATCAAGAAATCTGAGAGCAACTGTAAAACAGGACCAGTAATGAAGGAGTTCTCACACTTACATCACCCAAGGCTCGTTCCAGACATGACGTCAGTTTCATTAAGCCAAGAGAAATGGCAGGAGACGGCAGACTTTCCAAGTCATCAAATATTTCAGGGAATAACTGTTCAGAATAAGACACATATTAGAATTCACACTCAGGAAATATTTCTCAAAGTTAACAGTATCATTTATTGACATTCTAACCTCTAAAGAGTTCAACTGCTGTAGTTTAATTATTCTTTTGGTATAAGTAAATATTTTCTATGTAAATATTACAATGCCTCAAGAACCAAGAAAAAATTTTAATATCTAAGGAATTCGTTGAAAGTTCTTTATTTAAATGTTTATTCAAAGCAATAAATCTAGTATAACTATGAATTAAAAAGTCAAATATTTTGACCTACATGTTATTTCCCCCTTAGATTTAGCTTAGTTCTTAGAAACACACACAAGGCAGCTCACCCTGCCACTCAGAAGAGCCATTACAGCAGGAGCAGCAGTCAATTAGACTTGCTATACCTGCTCCTTTACTGTGGTCATTTAACACGCTGAATGAAAAGAAAAACTAACAAAAAGCAAACAAAAACAAGATTTGGATTGGGCCCCAAACTATCCTTCCCCTCTTCAATCCACCGTTAACAAACCACACAACCCTGTCTATAGTCCCAGTAAGAAGAGCGTGTGGCCAGGCACCGTGGCTCATACCTGTAGTCCCAACACTCTGGGAGGCCGAGGTGGGAGGATCACTTGAGCTCAGGAGTTCGAGGCCAGCCTGAGCAAGAGTGAGACCCCGTGTCTACTAAACATAGAAAAACTAGCCAGGTGTGGTGCTGTGTGCCTGTAGTCCCAGCTACTCGGGAGGCTGAGGCAGGAGCATCACTTGAGCCCAGGAGTTTGAGGTTGCTGTGAGCTACGATGATGTCACCACATGAGGAAATGAGGAAACAGAGCAAGACATTGCATTGTCTCCAAAAAAAAAAAAAAAGGACGAAAAGAACACCTTGCTAACTCTGCAACTCTCCTTGCGGCCTCTTTTATTCTGGAGGGTCCAAGTTTCCTCTGTCCCAGGATGAGCACCCATGGACGGAATGCTCCCTCCCCAACCCCTAACCCTCTGATACTGAATCCAAAAACCACCTTTGTCCAAATGGGCACATTTCTCAGCTCAGGCTTTGGAGACCATGAATAATAGCTCAGGTTTCTCTTGCACCTCAAGATTTCGTCACAGTTAGAAGGAACGCCTAGGGATGCAGGAGTCTTCTTTAAAATTGGCAAGTAATAAGGGCCTGTAAGTAGTATTTGCAAAGTGTTTTATTCCTAAAGGTTAAACAGCCACACCTCTGGAAAACTTGTCCACTGGAGCCATGGTGTGTATCGCATTTCGAACTGCCCCTTGCTCAGAACCAGGAAGTGGGAATGGACGGCTTCACACACGGGGCCCAGCTGCTGCACGCTGCCCGAGTAATCCAGACTCTGGTCTTAGAGGATAAGAAAATTCAGAGTCCAGCTCCGTACCACGTGATAAAAATGTCTAACTCACAAAAGAAAAAGTGCTTCAATTATACAATTTCCAGAAAATCAACAATCAGTTTACAATTGACCATATGATATACTTACATGTTGTTGAAAATAAATTATTTATCTGATTATAAAAGAGAAATATACTATCAGTAGAGACTTTGAAAAATACAGAAAGTCTCAAAGAGGAGAAAAGTATTTTTTTCAATGCCTTTACCTGTCTATAAACATATAGGAAACCAGACTCACACTGTACATGTAATTTTGTAACCTGATTTTTTTTTTACTTAACAGTATTAGGCTGTGAAATTTCCAATGACAATGAATTATTCTAGAACATTTTTATAATATGAATTTTAAAAATAAGTTTAGGGTTGAACATCCACATGGTTCATGATCAAAATATAAAAAACGGTAAACACAAACATATGTTCCTATTTTTTCTCACGTAGCCCCAGAGATTTCTGTATCAGATGAGCCCCCTCACTCTTTCTAGGCACTGTGTAACATTCCCTGTGTGCATTTATCACATTTACTGGGCCAATCCCCAATTGCTTGACATTGGGCTGCTTCCAGATTATTTGCTTATGTTTTAATTTAGCTACTACAAGCCATGCTGCAAAGAATAACCCTGCGAATGTCCCTACCTGTGATGCACCTGTCTTACACATCCCTGGAAATGGAATTGCTGGGCTAGAGTAGTTCATTTGTAACTTTCATAACTATTATTAAATTTCCCTAACAATATCCATCCCTGCTCCAAAAAAATGTACAAGAATACCTAAAAGACATTTAAAATGACTATATAATCTGTCACTGGTCATTTCGTGCCCTTCATTCACAGGACTTCTATGGGAAATCACCTTAAGGCCCTGAGACCTATGCCAGCAGCAGCCCGCCAGCCCCGACCACCTTGTGACCCCTCCTGAGGCTATCCCTCTTTCCATGCTGACTCCTTGTCTCCTCTGAGTTAGGCCTGCACCATAACATCCTCTCAGCAGGGTGCGATGATCAGAAGGGATTTCCCGAGTCAATGCACTGCCAACAGAACACTGCTAACGAGAACAGTACAAACCTGATTTGTAGCTCACACAGTCGGTGATTTTTCTCCAGCACACTTCACCATTCTGAGCTACAACACCATTGATATCACAGTAATCTGTGTATTCAAACCCAAGTTTACAGACCATATCATGCACTGAGGGAGAGAGACATGTGGTGACAGGGTCCACTGATAATGCCTGGAAAATAAAACATAAAAGGCACTGTTTAACAGAGAAGAAAACTGGAATAGTAATCATATATTTATGTCACAAGAGAATTCTATCTAAAGTGCAGAATGTTCTGGTACAGTTGCTGTTAACTAACATGAGAGCTGAATGACTAAAACACTGTGATAAAATGTTAGCTAATGGATGTCAATGTTTTCAAATATGAGAAACGTTTAAGGACTTAAAATTATTTTATTGATCATTTTTGTTAAGATGAGTTCACAGAAGCTCAACGTGTTTTACGAATGGGGGGGTTATTCCTTTCAGCGTTCCTTTACTATGCCAGAGCGATCAAAACAAGCAACTTTCTAACGGGGAACACGAAAGCAGAATGAAGCAAAATGAAAAAAGCAGCAAAAAAACCCAGACCTCTGGCTCCCTATATGGTGTTGAAGAAAACCACAATGTCACCCCAAAATATGCCTCTTTGAAGTAAGAAAAAAAAATCAGCTGAAGGCATGAGATAGCAAATGAAGGAAAAGCTCTTTTCTGCCTAAAGACAGGATATAAATTACACTTTTTTGGAAACAATTTTGGACTCTTAGAAGTCTAGAAAGGGCACTGAAGCAACCTGCAAACGAACCTTCCTCTGTTAGTTTCACGGATAAGCAAACATCCCAGCCTCCCCAGACCCCCAATCCTCCCCTTGCCCGCACTAGGCTAAGCTTTTCTGTACCCTGTCACGACTCTGCAAATATACTGTTCTTCGTGGAAGATTCTCTACCAGTGCAGTTCTAAGCCACTGTTTCAAGCTACTTTTCACTGTGCTTTACCCCCATGATGTGCGCTCCATGCATTAATAAGATCGTTTTTTTTCTCTTTTTGATCTGTCTTTTGTTAAAGGGATCTCTCCCAACTAAAAATTAAGATAGGTGAAGTTAAGCCTCCTCTACAGTGTGAAAAACATCAAACAAACCATACTGCTTTTCCATGGAGGATTCAATAAAATCAAAATCCTCATAATTATCCCACATTACACTAGGGTCACTGTATAAACCTACTAAGAAGTCACATTTCTGGGTCCAAAACCGAACTCGGGGCTCTTTGTTCTGATGCATCCAAGGTAACGGTGATGATGATGTACAGTGATGATCCAGTCTTGGCAGCGTCCAAATTAGGAAGATGCCCAGTTTAACTTCTCCAACCCTGCTCAGTATCATCCTGTTACCCTGTTCACTCTTCCTGTGCCCTAGAAGTTCCACTTTCCACTCTCAGCCTGGTTTTTAAATAATCCTAGCAGGTCCTAACAGACAGTGAAGGCATTCCTGAAGAAAATTATGTCAACTGTTAAGCAACTGTCTCTGGCATCCTCTATTTGGCTCTGTGATCCTGGGGCTGGGACTCTGTAGACCACCTTGGGCTGAACCAGGTGGAGCACTAGAGGGAGGACAACAGAGCAGGAGGAAGTAGGCACTTGCTGCTGCCTGTCTGCATCCTAGGGGCTCCCTGTCCACATGCTCCTCCTTTCAGACTCACCCAGAGCCTCCTGCTACAGCAGCTGAATCCAGTCTGCAGATTTTCCAACACTTGCAGGAGTAGCACCATCCCCTCCTCAGAAATGTGAGTTTCAGCTAAGCAGGAACTCTCCTCTAAGTTTCAGTCTTTTAATTTCAACCACTTCCCATAGTTCCCTCAGGCCTTGGGGCAGCAACTGCTTCCCACAGCTGCCACCTCCACCATACCTTCAGAGATCTCTTTTTATCCTTTCAAGTACCCAGCTAACAATCTTACACAGTTAACTGTTTAAATTCTCTCAATTAAAAAACTAGTATTCTTGTTCTCCTGACTGATACAGAAATAGTGTCAAGGGTAATTTTCACATCAAAACGGACTTACTGCATTTTTAAAAAGCATTCAAATTCTAAAGGAATGAGCTATTGTTCTGGGGTGGCAGGTGACAGGCAGAATTGAAGCCCATCTACCCTACAATGAAAACTGGCCCTGGATATAGCAACTCAGACTGTAAGAAAGGTCTTCTCTTTTGATTTAGGATGCCCTACCAATATAGTAGTCCTTCAACCTCAACCAAACTGTAAGATCCTAGAACACAGATCGTGTCTTGCACAATCCTGTTACCACTAAGACATGCCTCTGCCACAAATAACTAAGAGTTTACTCAATGATTGGCTCCCGGCCTCCACGACCTTCGGCTCTCGGGAGTAATGATACTCACCTGCCCTCCCACCAACTCTAGAAGTTTGCTTTTAACTTAGTTTGTAAGTCCATACTCTCTCGGACGAGAAAAGACTCCACTGTTGAGAAATAAAATCCAACCGCAAATGAATAAATACTAGATGGTACACTACTTCGACTGTAACTCATGACACTTACTACATTGTCCTGTGTATTATAGTTACGAACATGCCTGTCTTTCGACCAGGATTCAGAAACCTGCACGTTTGCGAGAGCGCTCAGGTGTGTGCGCCCACGTCCAGCACCATTCCGTGATTATGTCTGTGCCTCGCCCAGATCGGCTGGGCAGGGAACCGGCCTGTGCTTTGCCGCTAGATTTAAACTTGTGTCCTTCCTCAACCTCTTACTACCTCTTGCCTTGAAAATCTTAACTGTAAAACAGTGCGGTAGGATTGAGGTAATGAGCACACAGTACTCAAAAACAGCTATCGTTACTGACGCCAGACGTTCGATATTTAATATCCCGTGGGAGGAAAACGACTACACTCCTTATTGTGAGGCAACCGCGCAGGACCAGGTCCGCCCGGCGGTCGGGAACCGCGGAGACCAGGCTTTCTGCCTCTGCCCGAAGGGGCTCTGCGAACGCCGGCCAGGGCAGAGCTGGGCGCTGCTCCTGCGCGCCCCTGGAAACGGCGGAGACGCAGGGGGAGGACCGCCGGCCACCGCGGACGCCCCCTCCTGCAGCGCGCCAGCCCGCCCTACCTCCATAACTTCCGGCCCGGAGCCCCGGCGCGCACGGATGACGCAATGCTTCGCCCACCCGCTTCCGGGCTGCTGAGCTTCGCTGGCAGGCATTTCCGGCCGCACGCGGCGCAGGCGCGGGACTTCCGCTCTCGCGGGAAACGACCGAGAGGTTTGGTGGCCAACTGAAGCGGGGAAGGCCGGGCGTCTAGGAGCGCATAGCGAAATGGATAAGCGAGGCCGAGGCGTAAGGCCGGGCACGAGCCAGGCGTCTCAGCAGCTGCCTTCGACGCCCAGGAAAGAGAGGAAGCCTAGCATGTTCGAGAAGGAGTCCGTGAGTGCAGGACCGCGAGCGGCCGAGGCGGCTTTCCAGCCCCGAGCGGCTGCTGGGCTGTCCTCGCCTCCCCCGGGGGGCAGGGGCGCTCGGTCCTCTTCCTCTTCCTCTTCCCGGGCCGAGCGGGGCGCCGCGCCTCGGACGCGAGTGCTGCGGGACCCTGCAGCATTCAAGGGTGGTGTCAGCTTCACTTCTCAGTCCTACTCAGCTTGCAGGTTTCCTGAGAGTAATCTGCGAGGAGCGTTGCTTTTTACAGAAACACAGGATTTCAGTCTATTTAGTGCCATCACTCATGCAGAGGCAGCTTTGCCAACCAGAAATAAGTGTATGCTGTGTTTCAAAAAAGTAACCTGACGAACCAAACAGAAGAATGAGATGTTGTGAGTTTTTTAAAAACACCAGCAGACTCGGTATTTGAAGAATATCCAGGAGAAAAAAGTTAAATTGAATGCGTATTCTCTCCATTAACTTATTGTCGGATATTAACGGACAAGGTCATTCGCTTTTATTCGTGGTATAACACCAGTGTTTCGGTACGTTCCTACTTTAAAAACCATTAATGCAATCAAGACTCCATCTTTTATTGAGACTTTAAGAGAAAAATAATTTACCCAAGAATGCAAAGGTTTTTAATGGTAGAACTGAAACTAGAACCTGTGTTCTAGAACTCAGTCTACTTGTCTGTAGTGGTTTCTTTTCATACTTCATGGGATCCATAATAGGAAGAAGACAGATGACACGCAAAACAACAATTTTTGAAGACCCTGAAACATTTCAAGATATCCCAAATAACAAAAATAATTCTAAAAAAGGAAAAAGTAATGGCAACATTTCAGTTTCTAATGATATCTCCTTGGTGTCTACAGTTTATTGAGAAAGAACAAACTAAAGGAAGAAGGGCAAACAGGCCAAGTTTACACAGCTAAGAAAAAGAGCAGAGCAAGTCTAGAAACTTGAATCTGTTGGACTTCAAACTTCATGCCTCCAAACACAATGCTGTATTGCCTGGCAATAAGTATGAGTAACAGGTCACCAGCAGTAAAGAAACATTTCTGTATTGTGAGGCAGACAAGGGTGACTTTTATAAACCTAATGCCTTTTAGAGGTCTTGAAGTGGTTTTGAAAATTGAATGAACTTGAACTCCATGAGAGACAAAGGTGCACTTGGTAAATAGGCTAAAATCTGGGAGTGAGGGGACATGAACCAAAGCATTTACTGCTTATTTGATATAGCTGTGATATAGCTATCTTTAAAATTTAGTCTTTCTAGACTGAATAGACCCATCCGATTGAATAGATCAATAATTGGGAAGAAATTGAGAGAGGATTCCACAAATGCTCACTAAATGTATCTGAAGATAGTCATTTCTAACTTTCAGGTAGCTGATAATTTCCATATTTCTGAGCATAGGAAAAATTAGGACACTATTTAATCAGTATGACCATCTGTTGATTTTATCTGTCCTGCATCCATTTCTTTTCTTCCAATGTTAGCACCTCAGATTAGTTTAAGAGAACTAATTTATCCCCCATTGGATAGAGATTTGGTGGGATTATCAGCCACTGTCCTTAACTTTGTAGTGAGGAGGACACCCAAACTTGGCTAATTGGATGAAATCTGTAATAACATAAATAAAATGGTTGAGGTTTATTCAAATTGAAGGTGGCAAGCTGAAATGCCCCACATGACTTTCTGAATCTGGTTCTTTAGCCTTTCCTTCATTCTGTGGACTACTGTATACCTTTCCAATAAATTGCATTTTTGCTTAAGTAGAATCAGTTCCTATTGCTTGCAACCAAAGGTCACCAAACCGTAAGTGGATTACCAAATATTGAAAACTTGATTAGTTTCACTTGTGCACATTTGAAAACCTTAAACACTAGCAAATAGCATTTAGAAATAAAAGTAATATCACCAAACTTAGTTTATTTTAGGGCTATAAGTAGGCTCAGTGTAACGAAATGCCACATCAACAGTTTAAATAATTAAACTTAGGTTGTATTAGTAGATACCAAAAAGTTGGTTATATTTAAAACTTATTCCTAATTAAAAAAAATGATGACAAGATTCTTCCTTACTAAAAGGAATAAAAATGAGTACACAAAGTCAGATGGCCCATATTATACATAAGAATTGGTGGAGATGTGGGTTTTCAGCATATTGGAATCACTAATGGTTATTTTCAGGCCACACGTTCATGCCCCATTCCCTTGAGAATCATTGCAGTTGGGAGCCACTGTTAATGATAGTGTGTAGTTGTATCCCTTGAGTATATTGTGGAAAAGAAGATGGCAGTCACTATCGTAGAAAAGTATTCTCTTAGTAAACAAGACCAAAATGATTTTAGAAAGTTTGGGGAGTTAATAATACCTCTTCTACAATTAAAAGATAGGCACAGAAGTCTGACAGATGATGAAAACAGCAAATTCATTTCTGATGAAGGACTTACAGCCAACATGAAGTGACTCCTACCCAAAACTACTTAAAATAACACAAAAGATGTGTAGAGTAATTGTTTCCATTGATTGAATATCAAGTAACACAGGGTAGTAGTGATACCGGAGAGCAAAGTAGGTAAGGTGAACCCCAATGTTGCCCCCCAACTTAGCTGCCTGGTAAGAGTTTCCAGGCCACAGCACAAGGAGATGTTTTCCTTAGTTGGACAGGAATTAGGAGTCTGGAGAGATCAAGGCAGCATAAGACTTCAGAGCAGAGTATTGGAAAGGACGGGGCTGGACAAGCGGCTTGAGATCTGCAGAGGGTTTCCCTTGAGTGTTCAGCTCAGTGCATCAGTGTACCTGATGAGGAAATCATCTGAGGTGGACATTGGTCAGAGTGCTAAGAAGTGTATTGCCTCAGTAGTGTGGGGAAAAAAATAGTTCAGACATAAAATTTTTTCTAATCTGGCCTATCAAAATGGAAAAGCAGGCCGGGCGCGGTGGCTCACGCCTGTAATCCTAGCACTTTGGGAGGCCGAGGCGGGCGGAGTGCTCAAGGTCAGGAGTTCAAAACCAGCCTGAGCGAGACCCCGTCTCTACCAAAAATAGAAATAAATTAATTGACCAACTAAAAATATATATACAAAAAATTAGCCAGGCATGGTGGCGCATGCCTGTAGTCCCAGCTACTCGGGAGGCTGAGGCAGTAGGATCGCTGAGCCCCGGAGATTGAGGTTGCTGTGAGCTAGGCTGACGCCACGGCACTCACTCTAGCCTGGGCAACAAAGTGAGACTCTGTCTCAAAAAAAAAAAAAAAAAAAAATGGAAAAGCAGGGCCAAAGAGAATTAAACTACTTCCAAATTACTATATCCTAGAAGAAAGCTCAAGAATGTTTTTAGGAGTACAAAAATATCCAGCAAATGAGAATGTAAAACTCATAGTATCTGGTCTCTAGTGAAATATTAGCAGAACTACAAAGAAGCAGGAAAATAAAATACAAAATGAAAAGAAATGATGAAAACAGGGCCTAAATGACACAAAGATAAAATTGATATAAAAAGACATTAGTTAAGATAAAAATCATTCTATTAGTTTCCATCAAATCAGTCATCACATAATATGAAGTAGTTATTATAATTACATTCCATATATTTAAGTATGTAGAGAAAGATTGAGCATGTTAAATCCAAATCACACTTCCATAGATGAAAAATACAGTGTCACAGATGAAAATACACTGAATGGAATTAACAGCAAATTCAAAACTGCATAGGAAAGGACTAGTGTATTTAGAGATGTAGAAATGGTGGCGGGGGGAAGCCTAAAAAAATATTAGGAGCTGTCAGAGCTGTGGGAGAACTTTAAGCACTCTAATATTCTTATTAATACAGTTTGAGTTTCCAAATGAGGAGGGGAGAGAGGACAAATATTTGAAGAAATGATGGATGAGAAATTTACAGATTTGGTGAAAACTTTATGCTGCAAATCTAAGAAGCTTAGTGAACTCCAAGCACAAGAAACATGAAGAAAATTAGCCAAGACATAAAATTATCAAATTACTTGAAACCAGTGATTTTAAAAATTTAAGGGCAACTAGAAAAAGAAAAACATTATTTACCTAGAAACGAAGATAAAATGACAGCGGACTTATTGTGATAAGCAACGCAAGACAAAACATTGAGGCATCACTTTTAAGCACTGAAAGCAAATGGCTTTGAAGCTAGAATTCTATACCAAGCTAAAATATCTTTCAAAAACAAAGGTAAGACTTCTGGCTTCCAGTTCTACATGTAAGGGGCTTGAAGTCACCACTCCTTCCTAGCAGGTAAGAAGCTGAGCAAACTGAAAAATTAACTCCTCTTAGATTCATAAGAGAACTGAAGTAACAGAGAAAATTGTTGCCCCCAAAATAGGATATCAGGTGGATACAGAGAATCACAACAACTAGAACAGAAACCACAGGAACTAATGTTGGGGTCTGAAAACCTCAAATGTAACTGATAATTTGCTGGAGGCTAAGAGTTGACAATTCTCAGGTTAAAAACTTCGGGATGATCCATCATAGGGTGGCCCCCACACTTTCCTTGAGTTTTACTTTAACTTCAAGAGTTGAACCAGGTTATCATAGTAAATATTAGAGAAAAACTCCCTCATGCTCTGGCTAGGGATGCAATGGGACCTTTTTGAAATGTGCCAGAGCACTTCCCCCCAGAGCACTTTGTTCTTAACAAGACCTGCCTTCAGGAAAACTAGTTAACCAGAGCTTAACCTGGGGTTTTGCAGAGCCTCAGTGACTGGGAGAAGGGAAACACCCAGCTCCAGCCCTCTAGCCATGCTGTCCCACTTAAGAGGGGAGGGGAAAGAACCTGAGATATATTTGTGAAGTTCACAGTCCAGAAGCACAGGCTCACCAAAAGGCTGAGGCCTAATCATAGAACTATTCTCTCCTCCCATACGTTACCACCACATTACTAGAGGTCTATTTGTAGAAGTTTCTTTTACTCAGTGGATCACGCCTGGCTATCAAGAAAAAAGTATAAGGCATGCTTAAAAACAGAAAGCCAAAAGAGAGAGAAAGCAAGCATCAGAATCAGACGTGGCAGGGTTGTTGGAATTAGGTAACTAAAAATAACTACGATTAGTACGTGAAGGATTCTAGTTGATAAAATAGAGTGAAAACAGATGCACAATGTAAGCAAAGAAGTGGAAACTCTAAGAAAGAACCAGAAAGAAATGCTAGAGATCAATAACACTGTAACAAATGAAGAAATCTCGAGAAATTTGAAAAAAAAAATATTTTGAACTAAATAAAAAATCAAAATTTGTGGAATGCAGCAAAAACGGCCTAGAGGGAAATTTATAGCATTGAAAGCATACATAAGAAAAGAAGAAAGATCTAAATCATCTAACCTTCCACCTTAAGTAACTAGCAAAAGATCAAATTAAATTCAAAGGAAGCAGAAAAAAAGAAATAATAAAACTTACAGCAGAAATTAATGAAATTGAAAAAGGATATCAACAAAACTGTAAGCTGTTTCTTTAAAAACATCAATAAAATCAGTAAGTCTCTAGCTAGGCTAAGGGAAAAAAAAAAACACAAATTAATAACATAAATGCAAGAGGGAATATCACTAGAAATCCCATGGGCATCAAAAGCATATTGGAATATTGTGAACAACTATGTCCACAAATTTGATAACATAGATGAAATTCCTTGAAAGACACAATCTGCCACAATTCATACAAGAAGAAATATATAATCTCAATAGGCATATATATATATATTTTAACTAATCAATAATTAACATTCCAAGGCAGAAATCACCATATCCAAATGGATTCATTGGTGAATCTAAACATTTAAGGAAGGAATTATACCAATTGTCTACAGTCTCTTTCAGGTGATAGAAGCAGAGGGAATACTGTTTAACTCATTCTGTAAGGTCACAATTACCCTAATAACAAAGCCAGACAAAGATACTACAAGAGAAGAAACCTACAGGCCGATATTTCTTATTAACATTCAGGCAAAAATCCTCAATAAAATACTAGGAAACTAAATTCAGCATTATATTAAAACAATTACACATAATACCAAGTGAAATTTATTCCTGGAATGCAAGGATGATTCAACATAAGAAAATTGATCAATGTTACATACCATGTTAACAGAATGAAGAAATAAAACTCAGGATCATCTCAATTGATGACGAAAAGCATTGGACAGAATTCAACATTCATGATATAAACAGTAAGTAAACTAGTAACAGAAGGAAATTACTTCAATATAATAAAGGCCATATATGAAAACCTACAGCAGATATCATACTCTATGGTGAAAGACTGAAAACTTTTCCTCTTATACTATGAACAAGGCAAGGATGTCATCTTTTGCCACTTCTATTCAACATAGAATTGTTCTAGCCAAACAATTAGGCAAGAAAAAGAAATTCCTGGCTATTATTAAAAGGAACTCATCACTTAAGATGCCAGAGCATTAATTTGGAACAAAGCAGGCACTAAATAAATATTTCTTTGCCACAGAATGTTGCATGTCAAAAGCATGGACTGATACAATCTTTTCCACTTAAGACTTAGGAATGTGTTACCTAAATATATTATTTATTTAAAGATAAAAGTAACACAAATCAAATTTTAAGAAACAAAGGATAATATTTTTATAACCTCAGGGTAGGGAGCAAGAAAGCTTTTCCTTACATCCCTATCCCCTAATATTTGTGTGTAGATAAAAGGTTAGATGTATATTTTTTTCTTCTTTTACAAGGTTGGTAACCAGAGGTGAATCTAAGATTCAGTGACCATATTATTATAAAAGTCTCTTACAACAGATTGCTAAGCTTTAAGTCAGCCCTGCCCCACAGGGTACCAGGTTTCTTAATCTGAAATTTCATTTTACAATTTTTGTTTTTTTTGGGTTTTTTTGAGACAGAATCTTGCTCTGTTGCCTGTACTAGAGTGCCATGGCGTCAACCTAGCTTACTGTAACCTTAAACTCCAGGGCTCAAGCGATCCTCCTGCCTTAGCCTCCCGAGTAGCTGGGACTGCAGGCACATGCCCTGATGCCTGGCTAATTTTTCTATTTTTAGTAGAGATGAGGTCTTGCTCTTGCTCAGGCTGGTCTCGAACTTCTGAGCTCAAGCAATCCTACCACCTTGGCCTCCCAGAGTGGCTAGGATTACAGGTGTGAGCCACCATGCCTGGCCTCATTTTACAATTTAAAAAGTAACATCTCTTGCACTCTCTCTCTCTCTCTCTCTCCTCCTCTGTCACTTCCTCCCCCAAGTATGCACAGATTTTAAGAGAACGACTAAGAGAATCATTTCATGATGTTCAGTATGTGGAGCCTCCATTTGATGACTCAATTGCTGATATAGGTAAAGAATGGAAGAGTGCCCTGGCAAAATTAAGGTTTGCTAATTCATATAGAATGGAGCCATTGAAGAAATTCCAAGCTCAGTCAGTAGAAACTAAAATCCAGCAGATATTAGTGGTAGGTTGATATATATGATAATATTAACTAGGGTTCTCTAGAGAAACAATTTATAGGAGATTATATATATGAGGAGATTTGTTATCTAATTATAGGGACCAGGAGATCCCACAATCTGCCGTCTGCAAGCTGGAGAACCAGGAAGCCAGTGGTGTGATATAGCCCTAGTCCAAAGATCTGAGAACTAGGGAAGCCGGTGGTGTAAGTCCCGGTCTGGGTCTAAAGGCCCAAGAACTTGCAGTGCTGATGTCCAAGGGCAGGAGAAGATGGATGTCCTCACTCGAGCAGAAAGCAGATTCTCCCTCTTTCGACCTTTGCGTTAGAGTCAGAGCCTCAGTGGCTCGGACAGTGCCCATCTGCATTGGTGAGGGCATCTTTACGCAGGCTACTGATTGAAATGTTCAGTGTTCCAGAAACACTCTTGCAGACGTGCCTAGGAATAATGTTTTACTAGCTCTCTGGGCATCCCTTAGCCCAGCCAAGTTGACACATAAAATTATGACAATTATCTTAGCTTTCGGGGCTTGATAGACTATATTATGAATGATGGCAGTACAATTACCCTGACTGATTTTTTGTAGCATTTACCTTTGAAAATACCAAAAGTAAGTTGTAGTCATACTCAATGGTCTTCACATTGGTGATATGAGCTAGATTAAAGGGAATTTTATTTTGTTATTTCACTCAACACTTAATTATCCACAAGTTATTTATCCCTCAGATATCATTTTTGGTATCTTAAGGCCACATTTTTCAGGTAGAAAGAGTTCCCCTCACCACCCTTCCTAATAAGGGATCACATGAGACACCTTTTAGTTATGGCAAGTTTGTTTGAAGGACTCTGTTTCTGGATCCCCTGTTCACCTTGGGTCCCTGGTTCTGGGAACCAGGCACTCAGGAGTTTGCTGATGACCAGGTTCTCTTTGTGGGACTCCACCCAGCCTATTCCCACTTGAGACGTGTTCATTGTTTTAAAATCACTGACACCCCCGACACAGACTTTACAAGGTATGTTCCTTCGGTAACAACTGATATGGCTAGCTATTGGGGAGAAAGCATGCTATTTTGTGTAAATGACTAATGCCCTTTTAATCATGTCAAAAGCAATTTAAATGAGAACACTTACTAATACAAATTATACTCTACTTGGCGTAAGTTAAGATGGTGTAACGAGTGAGCAGTCTAGGAAAGGAGAGAAATGTGGGGGCGTAGGTTCACTCATTAGGTAGACTTCAATCCTACCTAGGGGAAGTTTTCCCCTAGTGTGGATTCTCTCAGTGCTTCCTGTTCTCCACAGTCTTTTCTTTCCCTATCATTCTGGATCTGCACAGTCAATAAAAGTTCCTAACTTTGTTGACATCTCTCAAGAAAGAATCAGCTGGGGCACTGGGTAGGAGCACGGCTGCTCTGAGGAAGATGATGATCTGTTGGCATCATTTGCTAGGTGGAGACTGCTCATGCTTCATTTTTAAATTATCTTTGTTCTAGAATTCTTCATTTCTACTCATCATATTGGGGATAATAGGAACTTAGTTCTAAGAATCCATTTTTCAGATATGTAAATTAAGGTAGTTTGTGAAAATGTAACAGGCAAATGACATTCTGCAAAAGTACCTACAAAAGTATATGAACTTAGACCTTGGTTTAAACAAACAAACAATTAAAACTTATTCTTGGGACAATTGGGGAAATTCGAATATGAATGTAAATAAACAATACTAGATGTTATTAATTGAATTGTTAAATTCCTTGGTGTGATTTTATGTATTGTGATTTTGTAAGAGATCACCCTTGTTAGGAAACCATGTGAATGGGAATTGTCCATGATACATTTTCTCAAATGGTACACCAAATAATATGTGTGTTAAGTAGAGATAAATTAGCAAAACATTCTTAACCATTTGTTCATTGTACTATTATGATTTTTCTGTATTTTTGTATGTTTTTATAACAAAAAATTGGGGAAAATAAAATGCACAGCAATTTCTATTCTAAGGGTGGTTTAAAAGTGTTGACTTTATCTGATCACTTAAACATACTGTCTTGTGTTGTTAAATTATGGACACTTAAAAGTCTTTTTGCTGGAAGGCTAAGATACAGGGACAGAGGCATAGTTAGAAGAATATTTAGGTGAGAGATGAAAGTTCTCCTCTGCCTGACCAAATTAAACTGACATAAAATAGATTAACAGGAAAAAAGCATACAAACTTTATTTAGTAATTTTTACATGTCTGCAGAATCCTTCGCAAGGAAATGAAGGCACAGCGAAGTGGTTAGAGCCAAAAGCTTATATACTCATTTGACAAAGGGCAGTAGTGGGTGAAAATGTGACAAGACAACGGATTTTGGACTAGGGCAGATAATTGTGGAAAAGTGACTAGGAAGATAAGGGTTCCTTTAACAAGGTTTGTTTATGTAGATTTCTCTGTCTCCACTCCCCACCCCTCATCATAAAATGTCTTTTTTTCTCCTGGTACAGGGAGGGCATATTTCACATGGGAGTTTTATCTCCTGTTTTCAGGAAGGAAAAGGAAGGTCAGAGGGCACTTCTAGCATTTGCTGTTTTTCAAGGGTCTTTAACTCAAAAATAATAATACACCAAAGTAGCATATTGGGTGGCATATTTAGATCCTCTATACCACCTTGCACCCACCACTTACTACTGTAGACATAGATACATTTCTAAACTGAACTGTTAATTGTCAGATGATATTTGGCAAAGGTATTATGGCTCATGATTTCAGAAATAAATTCAACTCAATGTCATACAGTAATCATTTATTACATTTACTACCTGCTTCTCTGATCTAAACACCAATGGCAAGCATTTGTGATGTAAGAATATGCATTTTGGTATTTCTCTCACTTGACTCTACCTCATAGGCTGAATTCAAATTTATTGAATATAGTAGGATTTCAAGTTACATTTAACATTATAATTTATAGACATGCACTGAGTATAACGGGGCCTGGAACTGCTTATTAAACATGCAGGTCAATGGCTAGGGATTTTTACCTTGGGTTCAGGGAACAGTGCATATAGCTTTAGACATTAAAATACTATACATGGAGGATGCTTGTGAGTATCTTGCTGTAGTAAGTGCACATTATTTATTAAAAAGGGGGACTTAGGTAGATGCAGCCTGGCTTCTCTTAGGCAAGCAAAAGAGCCTGGCGAGTGAGGGTGAGCAGGAACAAAGGGGTGGGCAGAGGAAGACCATCCTTCTGGCCTAGAGAAGGTGGGAAGCATCCTCCATGACCTACTCATTTCAATTAAAAGCCTTCAAGGCTTTCCGTGGGGCTCTCTGGGCAACCTCATACCTGAACTCAGGAATCCAGGTGCCAGTAGGATAGGGCCATGAGCACCCAGCCCCAAGAGGAATTTGCGATATGAGTTGGAGCATTGGCATCTATAAGGTGTGGGGGAGTCACATAAAAGGAAGTTTGGGAAAACCTGGACGTAGCTAGGATCATCCCTTGGGTTTAAGGAATTAATTCTCTAGTTTTAGTTCCTAAAATTATGTATTTAGGCTTAATCTCCAATTCATGTGCTTAAAGCTGTCAGACAACTAACATGAATAAATGAAGTGGCTGTGATAATTGCCAACCAAAGATAAACATGCCCAATTTGATTGTCTTTTTAAAAACCAAGAAGGGAGCAGAGTTGTCATGCAAATTTTGCTGGTTGTAGATAACCTAAGAGATGCCATTTTTTAGAACTCAGGTTTAAGGAAACCCCCACAGGGCTCTGCCAGTCAAGGTTATAAGTCAGCACACGGGGTCGAAGTGGTTCCTAGAGACAAGCAGTGGGTTGAATTTATTCTCGGAGAAGACTGGAATTTAAGCTTGAGTCAGTCAGATGAGAGCACAGATGCTGCTGAGTGTCGGGAGATGGAGCCACAGCCAAATGCCTGTGGGAAATCAGTGCTCCTAGACCCGGCAGCATTCTACAAAGTAACAAAAAAAGAAGAAAAAAAGGCAATTTCTTTGGTTTTACATTTCTATGAAGTTAGCCACCATGGGGTCCATGTGCTATCACTAGAACCAGAGCAGGCCCTGTGTCACTGGTGCCCACGCCACGCAGGTCCATCAGAGGCACGCGTGGTCTGCTCACGGTTTGTAAGCAAGAGTAATAGCCTGTGAGCCACATCCATGCCCTCCAAGCTGTACATTAATTCACTAATGAACATGACTAGAAATGTTTGATTTGCTTTTCATTTTCTTGGAGGTCAAAGAAAAAAAGCAGTGGAGTGAGAAGCCACAGGGAGGGCCGGAAAGAAGTGGTTTTGTGCAAGCCCACTGACAGGCAGTGACCCTGGTTTTAGGAAAAACCAAATCCGGATTTTGACATATATCAATTTTAAAAGGTGTCTTTACTTAAGAATTTCTAGAAGCCTTTTAAAATTCCCCTTGTGTCTCTCTAGTAACTGTTTAGAAGAGTGGTCTAGTAAATATGACTTATTGCTTAAGTGTTGATAATGACGAGCAAACATTATTTGAAACCAAAATGAACTTTTTCTTTAAAATTGTTATTGAAATCAGTTGGTAAGCATAAGATTTATTTAATATTATTTGGTAGGAATATATGTATTTTCTAAACAGTTTATGTATCATTTTAAACATGTTTTCTACTTGAATTTTTATATGGAAAATATTTTCTTTGAAAATTAAAATATTTTTCTTAAATTTTTTTAAAGGACAGTCTTAAAGATGTCAAATATGATGAGAAAGCCTTCTCTCATTTGTCGCTTGAATTGGCAGACCGCATATTGTTAGTGGTCAAAGAATTTGGGTACACCCGTTATAAGTTCATTGTAAAAGTATTATTCATTCAAAAGACCGGTCAAGCAATAAATGTAAGTACCCCACTGATCCAGGATCTAGCAGTTAGAACTATAAAGTATCTCCTCCCTAGTGATCTGATCTTTATCAAGGGACTCCAGGGAGTCTGAGGTAACCTGAATAAAAGGATCATTTTGTTCAATATATTTTATATAATTATAAATAAATTATAACATATGACTATATTGTAAATTATGATATGATTGTGTTATGAATGGATAATACACATAAAACGTGTATGCTGTATTATATAATTAGATTATAAATTTAATTATAAATAAAGTTCAAATTATTTAAAAAGTAGCAACCTACAAATAGCAATTTACTATTAATAATTTATTAAACTGCATGGTTATTCTCTTCCTTGATCATACCAGTTTTGACAATTTTATGTCATGTAAGTTAATTAACCAGTAAATGTCTTTTGGGCTCTAATGGGTGTCAGGTCCTGAGCAAAGTACAAAGAATGAGGTGACACGGACCCTGATTCTCAAGGGGTTTCGCTGTAGGGAAGAAAATAAAGCAGCACAGTGTAGGATTTAAGGAAACAAAGTGACGCAGACGATGTGAACAGCCTGGGTTTGGGGTCGGACGCACTGGCGGGAATCATGGCAGCGACACTCCACAGCTGTGGCCTTGGCATAGTTCTTTCATCTATAAAATGGTGATGATAAAACTGAGTTTTTAGAGCTGTCATGCGGATCCTTAACATAGTCACTAGCACGGCACCCTTGATAGACAGCAAGGCTGTCATTAACATGACTTACAAATAAAAAGATGACGTGTTCAGGGAGCTGACAGGGAACATGTGGGAGCTGGAGGGAAACTCCGTCTGGATCCATCATAGAGGCTTCAGGGCGCAGCGAGGGGCATGGCGGGCGCACACGGCAGCCAGGCGGAGGCGCCGGTGGTGCCACAGGCAGCCGGGCGGCGGCCAGCTCCGGGAGAGGTCACGGCATCCGACACACACTCGAGTAACGGAAATTCCAGACAGTGCTAAGTGCCCTGAATATGACAGAGGGACAGAGTGGCTACTTAGGGTTGTCTAGAGAAGGAAAGACCCTCTGATGTCCGAGTGGCAAGAAGGGACCAGCTGCACCGAAGACGAGGTTGGACGTTTCCAGCACGGACAGCGTCTAGTGCAAAGACCCTAAGGCAGGGTGGACGTGGGGTGTTTGGTAAGCCTGTGTAGCTGGTGGAGCGTGGCATACAGCAGAGTGGGGGAGCGTGTCAGCTAACATTGCTGCACTACAAACTGCCTCGGAACGTAGTAGCTCAAGACGACAGCCACGTATCTGCTCACAGTTCTGTGGGTCAGCGCGGCCTGGGTCAGCTGCTTGGTTATCCACTGGTCTTACTGATGACTTGCAGTCTCCGGTGAGGCAGCTGGGCCCAGAGGATCAGGATGGCTCCTCTCACAGCTCTGGTGGTTGGTCTGGCTGTTGGCGGGGGCACCTGGGTTCTCCCACACATGCCACCACCCTCCAGCAGGTCACGTGGGCTCCCGGGCAGGGGGTATGGACACTGTCCCCCGAGGGTGAGAGTGGAAACTGCAAGGCCTCTGAAGCCCTTGCTTTGAAGTCACACAGTGTCACGCTGGTCAAAGCAAGTCACAAGTCCAACTCACATTCAAGCGAGAGGTGAGAAAGTAAAGTCAACTCCTTGATAGGAGAAGCCATGAAGAATGTGTGGCCCTTTTAGATCCCCCACAGAGATTGTGCTGTAGTCAGATCATGTATGTCGTTGTAAGTGGAGACAAGTTAGGGTTTTCTGCAACCGCCTACTTGTATAATCAGTGCCATTTCTTCTTCTCAACACAAAGTCCTGACAAACTGTAGTTGTAGATCTTTCAGCGGTGGGAGAAGAATTCCCTGTGGCCTGTACCACAGAGTGGGGCGGTGCGCGGAGGTAGGAGACCCCGTCGCAGAGCGTCTGTTCCTGCCCTGGACTCTGCTAGGAGAGGGTCTCTGCTAGAGGACCGCCAGCCTCCAGACCGCAAGAACGGCGGCCGACGTAGCATCACTCTTGAGTCTTCATGACATGGAAAATTTGACAAATTACTTTTTAAATATAACTTAAAAAACAAACTAGATTTGAAAAGAAATTCTCAACATGTTCAATCTAAATGTGGTTTTTTAAAACTCTTTCTCACAGATTGCCAGCAGAGGGATCTGGGACGTCGCGTGGGACAGCTGGGTCGCAGCTAAACACGAAACCGAGTCCTACGTGGCCTTGTGCCTGGTGTTTGCTCTGTACTGTGAATAGCTTGTTACGTGGACTCCACAGAGTCTACTTCCCAGCCTTTCAAATATAAATGAAACTCATAGATTTTAAAGCTCACGGTTGTTTTGACTAGCTATATTCTTATTTCCAATTGAGGCCTTTTAATTGTATTCTTGTAACAACAGAGTAAAAGCTAGATTTTCACATTTACACTCATTCATTACATTTATTAACATTCTATTTCCCCAAAGTATTACAAAAGGTTTGTGTATATGTATGTATATATGAATTCTTATAGTGGATTATCATATAGGGAAAATTATCACTTTTTAGATTTAAGAAAATTAGAATTTCTATAGGAAATTAAGATGCAACCTTGTAAAATATCTAATTATGAAGATATAAGATAGATTTTGGAAACTTTTAAGGGCAGATGCATTTTGGACAATATCGTAATACTTTGTACTCGTTTTTTGGAAAGGAATTACCAAGTTCGAAAGGAAGATAGTAATATGTTTAATACTTCCCTAATATCCTCCGTCTCCAGTCAAAATGTTTGCCAATGTGTGGTCTACTTTTTAGTTTGTTAATGGGCTCATTTTAGATGCAGGAATCGAAAAACCCAACATAACTGTTTAAAGAAATAAGGGAAATTTTATTTCTCCAGGTACTTTCCCAGTCTGCCCACAGACTTCCACATAGATTTGTTTAACTTGATAGAATTTTATCACACTCCCATGATTAGACAAGCCTTACCTCACCCCTTGGGGCTGGGTCGTGTCCCCGAAGCACACGACCATGTGAAGACTGTGGGGACGGTGCACAAACTAAAACCCTTCTAGCAAGGAAGCAGGGGTGGACTTGGGGAGGCAAGCCGTGGTGCCCCCGATAATCTGTGATTTTCAGAGTCACAGCCAGAACTGGAAAGACCACATGGAACTCGCTGACCAGTAAAAACACCCATGAGTTGAATTTCCCATAAACACGAAGATAAAAAAGGTAGAGGAGGGTTTTCTTTTCACTTATGTCTTATACTGAGTTGGTGTCGCTGCTTCCGTTGATGAGAGTTAGCGGGCCAAACCACGATTCCTGCCTGAACAGAGCCAAATGGAGTTGGGCTGAGGGAGCGTTTGAAAGTTGGGCCAAGATTATTCTTAGAAAACCATTCCACACGTGCACTAACGTTTGTAGCAGAACGAGTGGATAATCAGTCCAGGGCTAGCAATCCCATATTACAGAGTGTAGACATGATAGCTGTAGCCCAGAGAAACTTCTAAACTGGAGCCATCAATGTTAACCTTGGCCACAGAAAAAATTAGTAATAGCAAACCTATGAAATATGTCATGTTACACAATGTGCCTTCCTGATGAACTTGTCATGGACCAGTTAGTTGCAAATATATTATCTGCTAATAGTGTTGACTGCCTCATAGACAGACTTGTTTGTATAATGAGAATTACACCTATCACCTAAGGTTAGCATGTGAATTAAATTAGAGACTATGTAACCAAGCACTTACGCACAAAGCATACCGAGACCTAAAATGTTACCTCTATTCTACTAGGTATGACGTCTCCGAATTACCTCCAGCTCTGTTCTTTCTCTTGCCCTTCTCTCAACCCCCATATATACTTAGTTGTTAAATTCTATTTTAATTTTTCAAAGAGGCTCAAAATCACCCCTCTTTTCCACTCTCCCCATTCCTCTAGCCTGGGTGCCCACTTTCCTCACATCTATTTTAACAGCCCTTTTCTTTCATTTATCCATTTGTCAGTTTTTGGTTCATGTACAAAACATGTACCATGTACCATGTACCATGTTCTGGGCACTGTGCGAGATGTAGATTTCGTGAACAAAGCAGACAAAGCCCTTCCCCTCACTGAACTTCTGTTGTTCCGGGGGCTGGTATTAAGCAACTAAACCTCTCCTAGTATAATCAATGCTTCTAAAGATGAACCAAAGAGAAGAATCAACGGACCTTACTTTGCCTCAAGTCTCTTCCCCACACCTCACACGTAAAACTGACGGTGTCATAATCTTGGAAGCACAGCTCTAACGATGCCACTCCCTGCCTCAACCCCTCAGTGCTCTTGATTGTCTGTGGAGTGAAGCCAAACTCTTCTGCCCCTCCTGAGGGTCCAGACTCTCCATAATGTAACACTATGCCATTTTCTGGGGTTCAGTGGATTCCAGGTACATTGCAAACACACACCTCAGATCCCAGCAGCACTGCCCACTGCCAGCCCCACTTCTCTCGCCGCTGCTCCGGGTCGGGGTAGATGCCCTTCTTTGTGCTCACTTCCGTTATTGCCTCTCCCCACCATAAGATCCCCTTTCCAACTCTTCCCCAAACACACTATGCTGAGGCTGAGCCAAGAAAGCCTCTTTCCCGCTGTCACCCAGTCCTTCCCCTAGCCTGCCATGGCAGCTCTGCTCCACGGGCCCACAGAAGGGTGCAGTTGCCTGCAGCCACCAGAACACCAGGCTAAGTGTTCAGGACTATAACTTCTGGACCAATTGCCCACTGTCCTTAGGGACCCGTGAAGATCACTCCCATCAAATGTCACATAAACTGTCAACACCAGAAATCTGATCGTCCACTACTCCGACTTCTTGCTTCTTTAAGCTTTTGATGGTACATATGGAACTGGCTTTTCATGGTCATCAAACATGAGAGCCACAGCCTCCCTGCCACCTGTGTACTGAGTCCCTTTTCTTAACAGCAACCTGGCTTTTCCCCGAGGACGAGTCCCACTGCAGCCTTCCCCAGGAAAGTCTGTTTTTTCTCTCAGTCTCTGATACCTCAGAGCCAGGGACAGGGTGGGCAACCCCTTTGACCCTAAAAGGATTCTACCTCCAGAAGTTACGCTACCTGGATATATGATCCTTTACTTCTGCTAACTGCCTACAGTCTCTACCTCATTCCCTTTCGTACTTGAGACATGAGCTACTGGACTACAATCTTCATCACTCAACTCCTTCCATCATTCCTTGTGACTTCAATATCCACACGAAGGAACCATCCAACAAGGCAGTCTACACTTTGCACAGGGCTGGGATGCACAATCTCAGTTGCCCAACAACATGGCTCAAATGTTAGTTATGATGTGAAATTAACTGCAAGTAGCTGCATAAAGAACAAGCTTCACAGCTCACCCTTCAGTCCACAAATCGCCAGGTAATAACAGACGGGCACCGTGTCAGCTTGGTCTGCTATAAGGAAATGCCACGGACTGGGCGGCTTACACAACACACACCTTTATGAAGGTTCTGCAGGCTGGAAGGCTGAGAGGTCAGGGTGCCAGCACAGTGGTGTTCTTGGCAAGGGCCCTCTTCCTGATTATGGCCTTACATATGAGTTGGGGGAGGTTGTTTCTCTTCCTTTCTTTATAAGGATATTAATCCACATTGTGGGGGCTCCACCCTCATGACCTCATATAAACCTAATCACTTCCAAGGCTGCACTTCCGAGTACCATCACACTGGGGGTCAGGGCTTCATCATATGACCAAGCTTGATTTCCAGCAAGTTACTCTCATGCAATCATTTCCTGTCCTTCCACCTCTAGTATCGTGAAGACGGCTACCCTTCCGTCTTCCTGAAATCTCCCGTTTGTCGGCCTGTTCCACCATTTACAGCCCTCTCATTTTCTTCCTTGTTCAGCTTAGACCACGTGGCCCACCGTTGTAATCACTTCTGCACAAGAGAGACACGCTCCCAATGCTTTTGCCTCTCTTCCTCATCTGGGAAAACCCCTTCCTGAGGGAACCCCTCTATCCACTTTGTCCAAGCCTAAATCCAAGTACCTGACCTTGACTGAGAGCATCACAAAACCAGACTGACTAGTTTCACTTCAAATTCATGACCACAAGCCTCAAGTAGGCAAACCACGTGGCATCATAGAAACGTTGATTTCCTACTCTCCGACACACCCTCTCTTTCTTCAAACCTTCCACGTTTCCCTCCTCTACTCACTCTCAGCGATCTCACCTTATATTTCATTAAGGAAAGAAAAGGTATCCGAGGGAAAATGCTTCAAGTTTTCCCACCACCTACGGTCCTTGCAGCTGCAGCCATCTGTCTTCCCTGTTGCGGTGGATTCTGCTTCACCTGCCGAAGGCTCATGCCCATACCTGTGCTCCCCGGCCCTCGCCTGCCTGCAGCATCTCCCCTCTCTGCTCAGCTGTACGCCCCTCCTGCGAGTCCCTCTTGTCGGTGCACAGAGCGCACTAGCGTCTTCGTCTTAACAGCACAACAGCAACACTGCTCCAGCGACCCTCTTTCTCCATTACTTTTCACAATAAAACCTCTCAGAAGAGCTGTCTATACTCTGGCTCCAATTCCTAGCCTCCCAGCACTCCCTGAATCCACTTCAAATTAGCTTCTGAGACCATCGCTTCACTGAAACAGCTTGAGACAGTCAAGACAGCTAATTACCCCCAAGTTGCTAAATACAAGACACTTCTCTGTCATCTTACTCTACCTCTCCACTCCCTCTTTTTGAAACACTCTATTTTTTCAGTTTCCAACATTTGACCCTTGGTTTTCTTCCTTCTCTAAGTTGAGTATCTTAGGACTTGGTCTTGGGCCCCTTTCCACCTATACCTACATATTCTAATTAGCGGAATGTTAGGGTTTTTCCCCTCTGACACTGTATTGCCAGGGCCTAATTTAGGACACAGTACGGCAGCATTTGATGAGCCAGTGAATGGTCCCTTACAGCCCCACGATCTAACATAGTTCTGAGCTCACAGCTGGCTTGCCATAAAGCGTGTGGGAAATGAATGACGTCGTTATTCTCATCTTCCAAATGGGGAAGTGGAGAGTCAGAGAGATTAAACAGTCACCCGTGGTGACACAGCTGGTAAGTGGCACAGCTGGGACTGAAATCAGTCTTCACTCTGTTCCCTCCACTGCCCTGCAGGGTGCCTCCCTGCATGTCACCCACATTCACCCTGTTCTCATGTAGGACTGGAGTGATCAATGCACCTGAACATGCCGCCAGTGTTCCCACCTCTCAGCCTTTGCTGGACCGGAAACCCAATTTCCACTTCCAACTGCACATCTACCTATAATACTACCTGTCTTTTAAGGCACTTTTCAAAAGCTATGTCAACCTTGAAATCTTCTTTTTTGTAGTTGCTAATAAATTTTCTAGCATCTAAACTGCCTTTAAATACAATTATATTTTTGTATCATTTTTTTTTAGCATTTAGCCTACGGTAGGGATCCTAATCCACGTAGTGCCTCCTTAAATACCCTGCCTTGCCTTGCATGTTGGAAGACTGAATCTGTATTTGTTGACTTGCAATGAAATGATTTAAATTCACATTTGATCTTCTCAACGTAAATAACAAAGATCTGCCAAAGATGATAAACTTATGTGGGAGTGGGCATTGCAATGTGGATTATTATGGTGCCCTGGTAAACTATGGGCATATTCAGGGAGGTGAAAGAAGGCGAGGGTGTTAAAAATAAAAAAAGAGGATGATGACATAAGGAAACAACCATCGTCAGCTACAAAGATCACCAACATCGGTGACATCAGTCCAAAGTTGGAAGCAGTTGCTGCACAGATGTCCTTGCAACAGTATTGTTTAGTGTACCGTTTTGGTGGCCTTTGGCAAGGCTGTGGTTGGGCAGTGTGTTGTGAGGTTCTTGTTATCAGGCAGTAGTGGCGAGGACCTCCGTCCAGGGCCTTCCCGGCTCGTTCCGGGGTTTGACACGAGCGGCCCCATTTTGATTGTGCCAACTTTCACAACCGAGAGGCGGAATGCCCAAGGGAGAAGAGCAGTACGGGTGACAGGCCGAACAGACTTTTCCCTTAAACGCTAAACTCTGCCCAGAGAAGCTGGCCGAGCGCCCTGGTCAGCGAAGAGTTTGGGTGGACGATGTCGTTTCTTCCCGGCACACGGGCGAGGGGCGCCTGCCGCACGCCGGGCACAGGGCGACTTTCATTCCCGCCTTTCTGCTGAGGGGTCCGGGGTTTGCCTCAGTGGTCCGAGTCGGCAGCCCTCCCGGAGCCGAGCGTTTGCACCTGACGCGGGAGGCGTCCGCTAGGGCGGCGGCTGCAGACGATCCCTGTCGTTCCCAGCTCTGACCCGCTGAGTGGAGCCGCGGCAGGGCGCGGAGGGGAGGCCATGCCTCGCTGTGCTCCCAGAACACTCCCCGCCCTCGCTCAGGCGGGGGCTGCCGCGCCGCCCGCGACACCGCGCACCGTGCGGCCCTTCCCGGGTTCGGCTCCCGCCTCCGCCGGCGCCGCTGAGGTGCTGGGCGGGCCCCGTGGAGCCCGAGGCGGCTCGGGAGCCAGCTGGGCGCAGAGACCCGCGGCCGCGACCCCCGGTGCCCGCCGGCGCACTCGCCCCAGGCCCGGCTCTCCCCGCCCGCCGCCCGCGTCCTCCCGCGTCCCTCCGGGTGGGGGTGCCGGGCCGCCGCCCGCCAGGTGCTCCTGCCCGCGGCGAACAAAGGCGGCCCGGGGCGGGGACGGGGGGGTGAATGGGGGTGGGGCGGACGGAGGGGGGGAGTGAATGGGTGGCGGGGACCCGGGCGGGAGGTGAATGGGGGTGGGCGGGGAACCCGGAGGAGAGGTGAATGGGGCGGGGACCAGGGACGGGGGGGAGTGAATGGGGGTGGGGCGGGGACCCGGGAGGGGAGAGGATGGATGGGTGGGCGGGACCGGGAGGGAGATGAATGGGGGTGCGGGACCCCGGAGGGGAGCGGTGAATGGGGTGGGCGCGGACCCCGGGGAGGGGAGTGAATGGGGTGGCGGGGCCGCGGGAGGGGAGGGATGGATGGGGGTGGCGGGGACCCGGAGGAGGGATGGATGGGTGGGGCGGGGACCGGGAGGAGGATGAATGTGTGGGGCGGGACCCCGGACAGGGAGGGATAAATGCGGGGTGGGCGGGACCCGGGAGAGGAGAAGGTGGACTCGAAGTGAAGGGTAGGGCGGTACGGGTGGGGGTGGGCGGAGACCCGGGAGGGGTTGGGGTGGGGCGGGGACCCGCGGAGAGGAATGATGGGTGGGCGGGCCCCGGCTGGGAGGCGGCGGGACCCCGAGGCCGTGGGGCGGCGAGCGCGGCGGCGGAGCGGGGAGGAGGGCTGACGTGCTGAGGGCCGGCCGGGCAGCGGCGGGGAGGGCGGCTGCGACGCCCAAGTGCGGCGAGCCGGCGGCCGGGGTGGCCGGAGCGGCGGCGGCGGGAGGTGGGGCCGCGGGCTGAGCGGAGCCGCGGGCCGGAGACAACGCCGGGCTGTGGGGAGCGGCGGGCTGAGGGAGCCTCCGGCCGAGGCGGCGGCGGGCCAGGGCGCGGGCTGAGGCGGCGGCGGCCGGGCTGCGGTGAGAAGCGCCGCCGCCGCGCGTCCTCCTTTCCGGCCTCCGGCCTGGCGCTCGGCGCGGCGCTGGCGGCGCATGCGTGGCGGCGGCGCCTGGCGGGCCGCGGGGCCGCGGCGGCAGGGGCCGGCCCGGGCGGGCGGGCGGAGGGGCGGGCCGGGGCGGCGGGCGGCCGCCGCGGCGGCGGCGGCGGCGGCAGCGCGCAGGCGAAGACGGCGGCGGCGGCGACGGCGGCGGCGCGGGGCCTCGGGCTGATGGCGGCGCGGCCGGGCCCGGGGCGGCGCTGTCCCCGCGGCCGTGCGACAGCGACCCTGCCCGGACGCGCAGTCCCCGAAGGTGCAGGCGGCCGGCGGGCCCGGCTCGACCCGGCGGCGCCCGCGGGCCCCGGCTGCCCGCCCGGCCGGCCCGGCCCGCCCGCGCCCTCAGCGGCAACCAAGTCGGCCGGGCCAGGCAGGGCGCCCCGGGAAGCCGCCGGCGGTGCCCGCGGAGACCCGCTTCCCGGGACCGCCCCGCAGCGCTGGGGCTTCCGCGGAGAGCCGCGGTGCGGGACCGTGGCGGTCGGCAGCGTGGTGCGCGCGTCCACACGGCCGCCCGGACGCCTTCAGGGAAACTTTTCCTCAACTTTGCAGCGCGCGGGTCGGGAGGGCTGGGCGTTTCGGAGCCACCGTGAGGGGGCGGGACGGCGGGAGAGTCGCGCCCCCGCCGCGTCTCGCGCGGGCGGAAGTTTGTGGGAAGGTGGGCGCGGGGTGCGGACGCTCCGGCGGCGTGCGGGGCTCGGGGCGGGCCCGCGGGGCCGCGGCGGCGAACCAACGGCCCGTCCCGCTGCCCAGCCCGGCAGGTGCGGCGGCCGCCGTCGCCGCCCGGAAGGGTCCGCACCGCCCAGGCTCTGGGGCCGCAGGCTTCAGGCGCTTGATGTGCGAGATCGCGGTCTCAGCTGTTTGAGGACTTCCCATTTTCACTTTTTATCTTTGTCTGTTTTCGAGCCTCTCAGTTTTTAGCCAATCAAAGGGAAATGGACTTGGATTGACATAAAAACTCTTAAATTGCTTCCAAGTAGAGTCCTTGAGTGCTTAGAATGAGTTGTGTCTTAAGCAGTGAATATGAAATGTTGCAGTTGTGGTACTTACCATGAAACGTAAATTTTCAAGCAAGCAGATTTAGGGTTACTCTCCAGCTCTTGGCCTGGTTGCTAGTCTTAGTAGGAATGTACAGAGCTCTTTAAATACTTAACAAGGACTGAAAAAGGATATTTTGTATATTTTACTATTTGTAAAACAATCAGTAAATTCCTAGGAGCTAGAGACGTTTGAGATAATCATCATCAAAATCACAAATTTAACTAACATTTATCAGATAATGTTAGTCCTTGCTGTAAGTGCTTTTCATATTTTAACTCATTTAATCCTTGCATTAATCACGTAGTAAGGAGAGGTTTACAGAGAGTGACTGCTCAGCCAGCTAGCGAGGCGTAATGCCCAGCCTTGCAGCTCTGGCACGCCTGGCTGTTACATCCCCCTGCCTCTTTACATTCTTTTGCTTTCATTTTAATATGTTGCAAGAGGACCATGTGTTTAACAAAATTGTAGTGCTGTTAGAAGCTATAGTACCTTGATTTAAAAAACAACATGATTTTTAGATCTTAAGCCTTGGCTAATAGGTAAATAAATCGATTTCCTAATGTCTGGTACTTCATTTTCTCAGTGGAATGGTTAAATATACAGCCTTGATATTCTTGTCGTATAATGGATTATATTAAAAGTATGTCTGTCTTTTTTGTGGGGTACAACTGATTGATGACCCTTACTAGGGTATATTTTTGCAATGTAAGAAAAAAGAATAGTTAGGATTGGTAACCTGTTTTTCGTCCTTGTATAGCCCCTTTTCACAGGTATACCTAAGTAGTCAGTTAGAATAGTCCTATGAACCAGCTCTAAGTTGAATTAAACCCTGTAAGTGATCCATACATTTTTTTTCCCCCAGCAGCAGTTTTATGTGTTTATTAAAGGCAGGAGGCATTTAAACCCCAGTTGGTGAGAAAATAAAAGTAGATTTAGAGTTACAGGTTAATTGAAAATTTTCTTATTTTGATTGGATTGAAGATCAGTTTCTAATTTTGTTCCAAGTCTTGCTCATGCTAAATTCTTGGTCCCTTTTAATATAGGATGTTAATATTTGTGTAACTAGTTGTCTTTAGCCTTTCACTTGTTTAGACTCTTAGCAAGTCTGAGAAGATACATATTCAGCCTTTCCTTATTTTTTTTCTTATTCTTTCTCTAATTATTATTTTATAATCTTTTAAATGTATAGGATGATAATGAAGATAATTCAAATGATGGGACCCAGCCACCCAAAAGGAGGCGAATGGGCTCTGGAGATAGCTCTAGGAGTTGTGAAACTTCAAGTCAAGATCTTGGGTATTGTTATTTTATTGCTTAATATTTTTTGTGGTATTTTTCTCTTCTCTGCATTAACATCCTCTTCCTCTCTGCCCCAGTCCTGACAGTTATTAAATTTGTAGAATATTTTCTTCCTGTTTTATAATGTGACACCAAAGTTGGTCTTACTACTGAGTATAATTTTAAAAAATGTATTATGGTAAACTACATAAATATGTAAAATTCACCATTTTAACTCTGGTTAAGTGCAATTCAGTGGCATCAGTTACATTCACTTTGTTGTGTAACTATCACCACCATCCATTTCTAAAACTTTGTTACTAACCCTAAACAAACTTCATAACCATTAAGTAGTAACTTCCATTTCCCTCTCCCCCCACCCCCCTGCAACCACCATTCCACTTTCTGTTTCTATGAAATTGACTACTCTAGGTACCTCATATAAGTGGATTCGGACAGTATTTGTCCTTTTGTGTCTGGCTTATTTGACTTAGTGTATTGTTTTCAACGTTCATCTATATTGTGTCATATTTCAGATTTTTTTCTTTTTTAAGGCTGAGTAATATTCCATTGTATGTATATGCTGCATTTTGTTCATTCATGTTGGTAGACATTTGGGTTATTTTTATCTTTTGGCTAGGTTGACTAATGCTGCACTGAACATTGGTGTTCGGAGTTCCTGTTTTCAATTTTTTTGGGTGTATACCTGGGAGTGGAATAGCTGGATCATATGGTAATTCTGTGTTAGTTTTTTGAGGAACCACCAGACTGTTTTCCACAGCAAGTGCAACAATTTACATTCCCACCAGCAATGCACAGAGTTTCCAATTTCTTCACATCCTTGTCAATTTGTTATTTTCCTATTTGTTTTGGATATTAGTTATCCTAAAGAGTATGATGGGACATTTTACTGTGATTTGTGATGTTGAACATCTTTCTGTGTGTTTATTGGCCATTTATATATCTTTGGAGAAATGTCTGTCCAAGTTCTTTGTCCATTTTTTATTTGGGTGGTTTTTGTTGTTGAGTTGTGGAAGTTTGTTGTATATTCTAGCTATTAAGCCTTTATTATAAATGATTTACAAATATTTTCTTCCATTCTGTGGGCTGTCTCTTCACACTTTTGATAGTATTCTTTGATGCACAAATTTTCTTTTTCTTTTTGAAGTCCAAATTCTTGATCTGTTTTTTCTTTTGTTGCTTGTGCTTATCATGTCATATCTAAGAATCCATTGCCAAATCTGAGGTCATGATCATTTCTGTGTTTTATTCTAAGGGTTTTCTAGTTAGCTCTTATATTTAGGTTGTTGATCTGTTTTGGGTTAATTTTTGTATGTGATATGAGGTAAAGGTCCAGTTTCATACTTTAGCATGTGTAAGTTTGTTAGCACCATTTTTGAGAATACTCTTCTTTTCCTCAGTTACTTTTTAAATGCATAAAATAGCGTTAGATTCCTGCTTCTAATTGAGAGATTGAGTTGGCCCAGATCCTAAAATCTGTATTCTTAACTATTCAGGGTAGAGGTTGACTGCAGTACACTGAAACTGTCAAACTAGGTCCATTCTTTGCTTCTAAGTTTGTGGAGTGTATGAAAACACACAATTATGATTTATGCTCCATTTCATCAAGAAATAAGTTTTTTGAGTTCTGTTTTCTCAGCAGTTTGTGACTCGTTGAACAGCAGACAAAACAGAGAAGCTGATTACGTTATACTTTAGGGGGATGAAATACTGGCTATGTCTTTTAAGCCTAAGAGAAAGAATTCAGAGCTGATACCATCACCTTGCTTTGTCCTCATAGGTCTCTTAAGCTAAAAAATGCCTTTGTTACTAGCAGTTCATGAGTCTTGGTTCTCTCTGGTGTATAGAAAATTTTATTTTCAATATACCTTTTGGATTTGATATTCTAGATGATTATTTTTCTTCCTTCTACTTGTGTTGTAATTTTCTTTGATACACACGAAATTGTGTCGTAGCAAAGGATTTACATACGTAAAATAGCTTTCAAAATATTCTCAAAAATAAAAGTCATTAAAATTTAATAAAAACCACACTTAAGGTATAATATGTATTTCTGTGCTTAGCTTTAGTTACTATCCAGCAGAAAACTTGATAGAGTACAAATGGCCACCAGATGAAACAGGAGAATACTATATGCTTCAAGAACAAGTCAGTGAATATTTGGGTGTGACCTCCTTTAAACGGAAATATCCAGGTACTTAAGTCTTAGTTTATGTAACAGATTAAGGCTAACTTTTAACTAATAGTAATTTTTTACGATAGGCTGTCAACTTCTGAATTCTTGTGTGTGGATCATTTATAATATATTTTATTGTTCTTTTGCTCACTGATTTTCACTTACTACTATCATTTCAGCGTCTCTTTCCACTATTGATATATTCTTGTGACTTGTTAAACTTATTTAAACGCAAAATGAGACAGGTGAATTTCCTGGTGAAAATTTTAGAAAAAATCATAGTCAGGGGTTTACCAACTATATAGGCCATGTTTGAATATGAGAAAGGCTATTCCTGATGAACAATTTAATGTAGTTATTTATGTTGCTGCCTTGTTTTGGATTATTCCATTTTCAATTTTATTCTAATTTTTACTTCAGAATTTAAGATTTTTGTGTAGTCTTTTAAATAACATTTGGAATATGTAATATCAGATACTAAAAATCAAAATTTTTAAGCTTTTTAAAGTTTTACAGATGCATAATGTTTTATTTTTAATAGCCTTTGTTCTTTTTTTTGGAGATTTAGAGCGACGAGATTTGTCTCACAAGGAGAAACTCTACCTAAGAGAGTTAAATGTCATTACAGAAACTCAATGCACTCTAGGTAATAAAAACTTATAATGTACATTTTTTAAGCTGATCTTTTATGACATGATAATGTATAAGTATTTATCTCCTTCCTAACATAATTTTACAATATTAACAAAATGAACAATTTAAATACTAAAGTATTTATTTTTGATTATTGTTAAAGTACAAAGGAGAAAGACACTTAAACAGATGGTTCCCAACTTGCAGTGGTTTGACTTATGATTTTTCTACTTGACAATGGTGTGAAAGTAATGTAGAAGCCATATTTCGAGTATCTATACAGCCATTCTGTTTTTCATTTAACATAGTACATGAGATACACAACACTATATTATAAAATAGGCTTTGTGTTAGATGATTTTGCCCAACTGTAGGCCAATGTAAATGTTCTGAGAACAATTAACCACTTTGGTACGAGCGTTGACTATAGTCGACAGCCACAGATGAACGTGCACAGCCGAGTGTAGACTTTAGCCAACAGCCATGATATGACTTTTCTAATTTTTCATTTATCAGAATAAAATTGTGAACATTTAAAAATAACGTAATGAAAACATATATGTATATGTTACCTATTCTGATTTACACTACAAGTAAAGCTGCCTGTAAAGTAAAACAAGCTTTCAGTGCTTTAAAGCTTTCCTTGTCACACAAGAGCAAAATGAATTTGTTGTCAATGCACAGCACAAACTACCGTGCGGACTGTGAGTGCCGGCTGTGGGCAAGGTTTTGCGGCCAGTGAGTGCCGTACCGAAGTGGTTAAAGCTGGTTATGCTGAGCTATGATATTTGGTAGGTTAGGTGTATTAAATTCAGTTTTGATTTGTGATAGTTTCAACTTATGATAGGCTTATTAGCCTATCATAACCCCACGTAACCCCATCATAAGTCAAGGACTACTCGTATTCTATAACAGAGTATAATTTTCCTATAACTTTCATAGAGTTGTTAAAGTGTTTGTGTTGTGTGCAGAATTTGTACAGTAGTTTTTAAAAGTTATGAGTCTTTTATTGGGCTCAGTGGTTCACATTTGTTGTCTTAGCTACTTGGGAGGCTGAGGCAGGAGGATCACCAGAGTGCAGGAGTTCTGGGCTATACATGCACTGTGATCACACTTGTGAATAGCACTGTACTCCAGCCTGGGCAGCATAGCAAGATCCTGTCTTTAAAAAAAAAAAAAAGGCAAGTTTTGTTCAGTTTTTAGTTCTGTATAATTATCTTTGTGCCTTTTACTTTCATAAGAATTTTAATACAGTATGGATACTTTTTATATAATATAAATTCATGGGAGTCCATTTTAGCAATTGGTGAATCTGATACTGTTTTAAAAATCATCTACAATGTGTTGATGATTTTGGTGAAATTTGAGTTGATTGTGATATTTCTAGAATATGGAATTTGAAGACTAGAAACTAATACATTGAAACAATTTTTTTAACTCATCTAATTTTCTGTATTGTCAGTAGTTAGTATACATGATTATTTAACAGTTGTTTTTAAGTAAAGGGATATATGTTTATAGACTATAGAATCTTAAAAAAATGTTACTTGGTTGAAAAATTGATTTCTTTGCCTTTCAAGATAATCTTTTAATTCCTTGAGTTTATATTAGGAATACTAAGTTTTATTATTTTCAAATATATTCAAATATTTTGCTTTGATTATTGGAAAACCTTTTAAATGTGGAGTGGTTTGAAGGAGAAGCAAATTTTGAAGAGTATTTTGTTCACTTAGTCTTAAAAGAGCTTTTTTGTTCACTTAGTTTTAAAAGACCTTTTTTGTCTAACATAGGTTTAACAGCATTGCGCAGTGATGAAGTGATAGATTTAATGATAAAGGAATATCCAGCCAAACATGCTGAATATTCTGTTATTCTACAAGAAAAAGAACGGCAGCGAATCACAGACCATTATAAAGAGTATTCTGTAAGTAACCGAGGTGACTAGCATGTGTCATTTGGGTTGGAGAGAATGAAATTTTACCAACTTATATGTGATTTCCAACTTTAATGTTTTTCTTTCAGCAAATGCAACAACAGAATACTCAGAAAGTTGAAGCCAGCAAAGTGCCTGAGTATATTAAGAAAGCTGCCAAAAAAGCAGCTGAATTTAACAGCAATTTAAACCGAGAACGCATGGAAGAAAGAAGAGCTTATTTTGACTTGCAGACACATGTAGGATGACTTGAATGTAGTAGTCCCTGAACCTAGCTTATTACTTGCTATTTGCAGAATGCTCATTACCTGCTTCATTATTCTCTTTGTACCACCTATGTATTCTTTTCTTCCTCAGAACTTAAGATGCTGTTTTTAATGATGTGCCCAATACTACTCAATTTACTTCTTTTTTTCTGTGAAATGCCTTTTGCTTTATGATTGACATTCTATTGAATGAGACTACTTTCTCTGTGTCTCAAAGGGTGTTTTGAGAGATTTCTATATTATTAACCATGTGAGGTTGGAACTAGTATTATTTCTATTTCATAGATGAGTAAATTGAGCTACAGAGAGGTCGTATAAGCTTCCTAGGTCATACTGCTGTTAAGTGGTGTGCAGGAAATACACTGCCTTTCCTCAGAAATTATGCTTGTAGTGAATAGGCGGTAAAACTATCACACACAGAACTGAAAGCACCAACTGCCCTCAGGTTACAGCTCCCAATGTCTTTTAAATTTCTAGCTTTTTTGGGGAGGTGTGGTATGCAGTAGGAAGCACATGGGGATTCTTGTCCTAAGGCCTTGGCTCCTCTCATACTATCAGTTTTGTGTTTTTCACTCTGTTAACATAGGTTATCCAGGTGCCTCGAGGGAAGTACAAAGTTTTGCCGACAGAGCGAACAAAGGTCAGTTCTTACCCAGTGGCTCTCATCCCCGGACAGTTCCAGGAATATTACAAGAGGTATTCAGTAGTTTTAGTTACTCTTGGTATCAGCTATTGGTAAGGGGTTTCAGAGCCACCTGAACTTGCCTCCTAACAGTTTTTTGCATCTATAAATATTATTATGCCATAAGATTCTGTGTAGGATTTGTGTCAATATTCCTCGTCTTCTCTGGGCCTTGGTGCACAGCACCCTTCAACCAGAATTGGAACATGTAGGGGTGAAGTCTGGACTGCCCATGTCTGGAGGTCTCCGGCCCTCCCTGCTCAGAGTATGTCTATGTCTGGCAGTGCTAGCACCACTCCAAAGCTTGCTGGAAATGCAGAATGTCTAGCTTAGCCCCAGACCTGCAGATTCAGAGCCTGCATTTTAACACATGCTTCCACCATTCATATGTAGATTAGAGTGTGAGAAGCACTTGAGCTGCAGAGATGAGAGAAGGAGCAGAGAGGCTGCTGGGGCCCGAATAGTCATCTGGCGCTCCAGCCACATTGCTCACCTGGCCTGGCTGCTGCTCCTAGTCTGTAGACCAAAAATGCTGCTTCTCTCCTATCCCAACCTGAATGTAACTGAAAAAGCAGGGCTAACAGGTTCATTTTGTTTCAGAACCTCAGCTTTTACTTCAGCTTTAAACCTTACTCTGGAACCATATGTTCTTTTTTTTTTTTTTTTTTTTGAGACAAGAGTCTCATTTTGTTGCCCAGGCTAGAGTGAGTGCCGTGGAGTCAACCTAGCTAACAGCAACCTCAAACTCCTGGGCTCAAGCGATCCTCCTGCCTCAGCCTCCTGAGTAGCTGGGACTACAGGCATGCGCTACCATGCCTGGCTAATTTTTTCTATATATATTAGTTGGCCAATTAATTTCGTTGTATTTATAGTAGAGATGGGGTCTCGCTCTTGCGCAGGCTGGTTTCGAACTCCTGACCTTAAGCAATCTGCCGGCCTCAGCCTCCCAGAGAGCTAGGATTACAGGCATTAGCCACCGCGCCCGGCCTGGAACCATATGTTCTTTCAAGTAGAGTCTGTTCTTTCCGAGCTGAGCTGCGGTCCCCAACCCCTGGGCCTCAGACCAGTACTGGTCCACGGCCTCTTAGGAACCGCACAGCAGGAGGTCAGCAAGGGCAAGGGAAGGAGCTTCATCTGTGCTTACAAATTATTTTGTAACACAGTTTTCTGTAACAAATTATTTTAAACGGATCTGGAAGTGTGCATCCTAACACATTCCATCATCAATTTTGTCTGAAACTAGAGACTAGCAACCCCTCCCCTACTCAGACAGTGCCTCACCTCCATTCTCAGCCTCAGGAGACCCCTATTCAGGAAGGGACCCTGGATCAGGGTCTCCCTCAACTAAGACAGCACCCCAAAAAGCAAAGGGGTTGGTACACTGTTAATAAGCTGCTCCTGTCACTTGCATCACCATCTGAGCTGTGCCTCTTGTCAGATCAGCAGGGGCGTTAGTTGCAGGAAAGCAAGTTCAGGGCTCCCCTGATTCTGCATTATGGTGAGTTGTGTGATTATTTCATTATATATTACAATGTAATAATAACAGAAATAAAGTGCACGATAAATGTAATGCACTTGAACCATACCCCCATCCCCCACCCCGGCCTGTGGGAAAATTGTCTTCCATGAAACTGGTCCCTGGTGCCAAAAAGGTTGGGGAGCGCTGCTTTAGAGAACAGAATTTAAAGTAGAGTGTAGAATCATACCATTTGAAAGTCAGATTTAAGACATGGGCAGAAATTTTTATTTTTAAAGTTTTTTGTTTTGGCATCAGAAAATTATTATTTTTTTTTTCTTTTTTTTTTATTTTCACCAGTACTTCTCAGTTCTAAGAAAATTATTAACAGTATACCAACCCCTTTGCTTTTTGGGGTGCTGTCTTAGTTGAGGGAGACCCTGATCCAGGGTCCCTTCCTGAATAGGGGTCTCCTGAGGCTGAGAATGGAGGTGAGGCACTGACTAGGGGAGGGGTTGCCAGTCTCTAGTTTTAGACAAAATTGATAACGGAATGTGTTAGGATGCACACTTCCAGATTCATTTAAAATGATTTGTTACTGAAAATTTTGTTTCTTAAGTTATATCTTAGGTAATATCATGTACCGTGCACTATTGCGATTTATAGGTGTTAACTTAATCCACACTGGGGCTCTGTGAGGGGGACTCTGTTGTCAGACCTGTGTTGGGAGTCAAGGACTGATTGACAGCGAGAGGGCAGCAGCGGTCTGAGACGGGCGGCAGGCCTGGGCCCTGGCTCTTACGCACTGTTCTCTATTGCTACAGTTGCACCCTTATCTGCTGACATTTTATTCTTTTCTTTTTTGGGTTGAGGTTAAAGAGGAGAGGCATTATCTTTTGATAGTAAGAGTGAAATGCTATTTTACGTGTTCAGTCTAGTGTAAAAGTAAGTGTTCAGCCTTTTTATTTATTACTTATGCCTACTTTATGGCCCAAATGAAAAATTAGTTATCTCTAATCCTTTTGGAAAAGTATTTGGGGTTAATTGAGAAGATTAAGGCTGTCTTCATAGTCAGAGTTTAGTCTATTCATATCTAATAATAAAGGAAAACTGAAAATAGTGTCTGCATCTAGGTACTCACCAGATGAGCTGCGGTATTTGCCGCTGAACACAGCCCTGTACGAGCCCCCTCTGGATCCCGAGCTGCCTGCTCTGGACAGCGATGGTGATTCAGACGACGTGGAAGATGGTCGTGGTGACGAGAAACGGAAGAGTAAAGGCACTTCGGTGAGAATGTTTATCTTTACTAGGCAGCATTCTCTTCCTTTGAAGTTTTGCTGGTTGCTTTCCTAGAATTGAACTTGTGTCACCACCTGTTTGAGAAAGGACAGTTGCATGTAATTTCCAGAAAGCTTTCATCAAGAAAAATTCTTTAATGTGTGTGTTGATATAAACAAGCAGTGCATGGCCTTTGGTAAGTTCTGTATTTAAAAATCTCACCTTTGTGGTTATCATGTTCACATTGGGCAAGGGTATGGAGTATTAGTTTACAATCTTTATTCACCTTGCTGTCTATTTAGCTTAAAATGTTGAACAAAACAGACTTTGATCTCTTGCCACAGAGGATTGTATTTTTTTAGGTTTGAGTGAGTCCATTAACTTGTGTTCCTGTTGCTTAATTAATCTTAGACTTCTATAGGCAAACACGATGACTAATAACTTGTTCTATTGGTCAGGTTTTCTTGTATGACATTTTTTGGTAGCAAAATGCAGTTGCAAGACAGTGAGCAGTTGGTGTACTTTGTGGACACAAAGGAGAACAAAAGCCCAATGACGGTGTTGGGTTTTGATCCCACTGGTGATGCAGGGTTTGGGGTTTCTTTAGCATTGTGTTTTAAATAACTTTTCACTGTAGCCAACCTGAACTTGAGAAGTGTGCTACCATTGAATGGGCATTATATTTCCTTGTTATGAACAGCTTCAAAAATGTACTTAATAAATTGGGTTATGTAAAGTATGATGCTATTCAAATATTAAAGCGGTCATCCTGCTCTAATGTCATGTTGCTGAAAGGGGGGAGGCTATGGTTTTGAGGGTGCTGAAGCTGACTTCCTCTCTCACTGCTAGGAAGAGTGCAAATTAATCCAATATTTTGGGAAAGCATTTTGACAGCATACCAGGAATTTTAAGTTTTACAGAATTTGACTGAGGATGTCCACCACACAATATAATTTATCTTAAGGACTTAATGAGATGCTGAGAGAATTTAATTAGGAAAAAAAAATGTCCATTTGAGTGTTTACAGTATTAAACAAAAATTAGGAATAAATCTTAATGTCCACAATGGGTGATATTCAAAGAATATTTAATGATCATGAGAAAATACACATAATGCTTTAAAAAATACTAAAACACACATGGATGTGCACACACACGGTGTAGTTCAGTTTTGTGTTTTAAAAAATGAGGGTGCATTATATAGGTGGGGGTGTGTCTAAGAGGGAGTCTGTATGTATAGAAACACACAGAGAAAGGATAAAGGCAATACGTTCATGTTTGTAGTCATGGTCTTAGAGTAGCTGTGAATAACCTAATTTTTTCATTTATAATTTTTATAATTTATATGAACACAAAATTGTTATTCTAATTAGAAATTTTTAAATTGTAAAATGAATTAAATGGTTAGATATTGAGGTCTTAAACCTTGAACATCTAAAATATGTCAGATGCGTTTTAAATAGTTGGGGCATTGACCTTGCATAGTTTAGCATTATGAAAACACAAATGTGTGCTTGATGGACTTTTCTAATGACCTTTATTACTCAGTGAAAATACCCACACTTATTTGTAACAGTATGTTTCTGTGTGGAACACATACCTCCCTTGTGACATGAAAAACGATATTGAAGCTGTATGGCATAATAATAGATGAAGTAGATAACTGTTTTTGTTGATTGAAGTCAAAAACAAAGTTGATTAAGGTACTTCACTGATATAAATCGAATTAGCTTTATACTATATTGTCCTTAAAAGAAGAATGAATGCTTTTTAACATGACTTAGTTTAGTCTCCACTGGAAAACATTTTCTTATATTTAGAATGATCTTTTTATTTTTAACAAATTAACAAAACTTTAAAATTTTTTTTTGAGTATTTTCCATAGTTACCAGAATTCAGACTCAAATCTGTCTTAATTCCAAGGAATCCTTGTTTTTGCCTTTTGAACTCCAGGACAGCTCCTCTGGCAATGTATCCGAAGGCGAAAGCCCTCCTGACAGCCAGGAGGATTCCTTCCAGGGAAGACAGAAATCTAAAGACAAAGCTGCTACTCCGAGAAAAGATGGTTCCAAACGCTCTGTACTGTCCAAATCAGTTCCTGGGTACAAGGTAGAAGAAAAAAGCCCCTGACTCAGCTTCTTTACTGACCAGCCTCTCTCCCTGACATGTTTAACTTTGACCTTCACCAGTGTGGAGCTTCTGCCTGCTGTAGCCCTGCTGTCCTCTGCGGTGTGCCCTCTGGCAGCTGCTTCCTGTTTCGCTTTGTTCCCTGGGGGCTTTCCTGTCACTTTGGCTATGGTTTTTAGCTTCTGTTTTCTGTATATGTACAATTTGAGTCTTTTTTTTTCTTTTATATCATAACCAGGCAAGTATGGGTTTTTAAAACATTCTTTCATAGGCAGAACTTTATACTTCTTTTCTTGGAGTAGAGATGATAATTATCCGGCATTTTAAACATCCGAGCATTTAGTATGGCTAAACCTGCTGAGCAGCTAAGCACAGGTGGATAACTGCTAGAGTAAGTTGCCTTTCTGTAGTGCCTTTCACTAAGAAAGATAGGGGTTTAACCTAAGGATTATGTGATCCATCTGCCAAATTCAGCTTACTCTGGGATAGAAAATAGTAAAACCTGTTATTTACATTGTGGTGATTTTTAGCATAACCTTGGCAAATAGCCTATATCATTCTATGACAAGTATTAAAACTTATTTGTTAACTTTTTGATCTGATTATTCTCAGAGTAAAGTAGTAGGTTGTCAGCAACTATTAACATTATTTTTAATGTTTCCTCCCTCTGTCTGCCCTCCCTTTTCTTTTGAAGAAAAGGTGAGGTGAGTAGCCTTACTTGCATGTAGCATTTCAGAAGATCATAAAAGGAATAGAATTAGCTGTACAATTTTACATTTTGGATGGTGATAGTAAAATATATAGTTCTTTTGGTTTGGAATGTATTAGAATATGCTTTTTATTATGCTTATGAAAGTGTATTGAAGGGAAGTTTTAGAGTAAGGTGATGAGAAAGTTTTGCCAAGTGAAACTGCTGAACACCTTGTTGTATGTCAGAATTGTGGTAAATAAGCCACAAGGAACATATTGACATGAGCTGTTAGTCAGTTTCCCTCAGCCTAACCAGACCACTTTCTAACAGTTTGTTTACCTTTCTTTTCTTGAAGTAAAAAAAGCAACCTAATAAGTGAAGCATATTCCATATTTTATTAGAAAATGCCCTTATAGGCAAGCAGATTTTAAGATTCATTCAGCAAGGGTTGGCTTCCAAGGGTGGCTTCAACAGGCTGCAGCTGTGTGGTTTTGTGCTTTTTTTTTTTTTTTTTTTTTTACATATATAGCTTATGTAATTTCTTTAAACTAAAGATTTACATTAATGCTTAATGATCGAAAGCAAACGAACTCCAAAGATTAAATCTTGGAAACAGCCCACGCGAATGAGTGTGTGCTACTGGTCTGTCTGCGCTTCAGGTGAGAGTGGCAGCTCAGAGCACACTGCCCTGTTGACTCCTCAGTGTCCAGTAGGTCTTTCTAACCGCAAGCCTGATAGATCATGGGTTGGAAAAGAGAGGATATTGAAATAGATGTTTTTATACAGGCTGAAAATGAAAACTACTCAACTATCATTGATTTTAGTATATAAGAAATTAAATAGATTAACATAAATAGTACTCAAGGGAGTCTGATATGCAAAATATACATTTTATAATCTGTGTGCATTTTTAGTACTTAAAAGAATAAAACGCAGGTATTTCAAAGATGGGAACTACCAGTATCTAGATATAATACATTAATGTGAACATGTTTATTAAAAGTTAACCTCTATGAAAAGTATTAATAAGCCAAGATGTGCCTAAATATTAGGGTACTTCAAGCTGAAGGTCATATATATAAATATGTTTGAAAATATGGAAGTTAAGAATGATGATATATCTGATGTCTTGCTTAATAAGATTGACTAGTGCTTGCCCTTAATTTGTAGGACAGTATTGTTTAGGTTACATTAACCTGAAATTTAAAGCATAATTGTTAGGATTCAGGCCCATAAGTGTATAATTAAAATCTATACTATATTAGTGCTACCAAGACAGACTCACTTATGTTTGGCTGTTTTTTGAGCAGAAAAATAAGTGTACTATGAGCCTTTTACTTGAGATTCAGAGAACTATTAGGATGGTGTTTTACTTTTCTTGTCAGTAGTGAAACTCTGGTGTCATTGCAGTTGTTGGGAATAGAACTGACTGTGTCAGAACATGTGGGGTTCTGTCCCATTAGTCTTCAGGGGTTCTGCACACCATTCCCTTTCCTCCTCCCCCAGCCCTGCAGCCCACAGTCGCCAGTTGATGTGTAAAGTCCTGGATGCAAGCATTGTGGTTTCTTAGAGGTCAGGGGCTGGAATACACAAAGTATTTTTGTAAACTGAGCTGCAGCTTCACTGCAGAAAATGCTACACAGCTCTCTCTTTCTTCCCCTCCCGTCTCTCCCTCTTTTCATCAAGATGAAGAATACTGGGTAAGAATAATTTTAAGTGATTTAACAAAACATTATGATTTAAGCTTTGAAGGAAAACTAGAGTTTTCTTGGTGTCCCTTTTATCATAGGTGTTTAATGTATATTTTAATAATTATAGAACTTGAATTGCTGTAGAATGTGAATGACTAGCCTTGTGTTCTATTCCTTTTGACTTTTGTTTGTAAAGGATCTCCTGTGAGTTCTCTTTTTATGATTTAATATGTGTGGTTACTTCCCTGAGTTTAGTGAAAAGGTATTAGAGTACTTACTCTGCCATTATCTAACTTCAACTGCAAGTATTAAATTATATCCTTTACATTTAGTACAGGTCCCATAACCAAAAGAGATTTCTTAGTTTTGGTGGATTGAGAGGTATCTATCTGCTGTATATTATGGCAGCTAAAGATCTGACCATAACTGACCCAGAACTTGGATCATAGAAGTGCACTTCGTAGCTGCTTGTATCTAGGTGTAGGAACACACAATGAGAACCTTATGCTTAGAATGTAGCAGTATCAACAGAGGGTAACTACACTGCAAGACTTAAAAGGTTTAAGCGTGTGACACTATCCTTTTCTTGGGGGGAGCAGGGTATAAAAATACACATATAGGAGATGTAGAATAGTTAACAGTAAAATTTTATATGTTATGTTTAACTTCCTTGATATTTATTATTTTGTAGAGACATTTGTGAATGTTTAGAGTTGTTTTTATTATATTTATGTATAAGGTTGACTTTTTTTTAAATAAATAAGCCAAAAATTCTTTTTGAATGCCTCTGTCATCTTTTGCAAAGAAAGATAACTTAAAAAGTAAAAGCCTTAGAAGAATTAAGAACAAATTATTTAGGCCTAACAAGTTAGGCAGGTGACAGTGAGACATTTCAAAGCTGGAATACTATACACAAAGTTTGAGTTTTCTTTAGGTTCCTCTTGGGATCAGTAACTTAGGAAAGGCAAATACAAGATGCATTTGGATGGGCTGGAATAAAATAGAAGTAGAATAACAGTTCTACTTAAAATAAGCTTTCCCCCAGTTTTTTATGTATGTCTTTGTATCCATGCTACTGCCCCCATTTCATTCTTGGCCCACGTGTCCTCTTCTCTGCCACTGTCACGTATTCCTACAGCACGAGTGAACATCACTTTGTAGTGGTCACAGCTGTGACTTTGGGATGCCCTCCTTCTGGTTGCTTTGGGTACAGTGAACCCTTTTCCTTTATCCTTTTCCATGTGTTGCCAAATATATTTAAAGTCCAAATACTTTCATTGGACTGTGCATATTTTTAATCTGAAAGATGAGCAATACTCAAAAAACGTGTTTTATTAAGTAACTGCCGTTGTTTTTTGCTTCTGAAAATGTATTTTTCCCTTTTATGTTTTACAGTTCATAGCCAATTCTTTTTTCCTTAAGCTTAGGTTCTTTTAATTTATTAGATATGCAAAGGGAATAATCACACGACTGTTTTCTGCAATTTACACATGACAACGTATGCACGAGACATCTTTCAGCTAAAAATGTTAAAACTGATTTTTTAACTTAGATTTTATAGATCCAGTTTTATAACTTTTGAAAACAAATTTTTAAAATCAACATATAAGCTGCTTAAAACTTAGTTATCTCTTTTATAATAAGCCTAATTTACATGTAATAATCACTTGGGACTTGGATTTTCTCTTCTAATTAATAGGGACATGACATTATGTTGAGTTTTTCCTTCCAGTTCATTATGCAGATTTTACTGTGCATGTAGGAAGTATAGAATGCTACATTTAATCTTAACATGAGATCATGCTGTTTATGAAGTTTTAAAATCTAAGGCTTTTGTCAGTAGACTCTTATGTCCTGAGCAGACTCAATGTCAAATTACATCTTTCAGAAAGGTTTGAACATAAAGGGAACATTAGCAAGTTATCAAAAGTAAAGTTAAGGAAGTAGAGTAACAGAATTCCTTTTGAACCCATAGTAAGCTCTTCTGGCATGAATTTTATAGCCCTCTTCTACCCTTCCAGCCAAAGGTCATTCCAAATGCTATATGTGGAATTTGTCTGAAGGGTAAGGAGTCCAACAAGAAAGGAAAGGCTGAATCACTTATACACTGCTCCCAATGTGATAACAGCGGTAAGTACTGAAATGTCTTCTTAAAATTTTAACCACCCTATTTGTTGCTTCACACTAGGATTTATAGTTTGAGCTAGACGTCAACCAAAGAATCATCAAATACACAGGATAACTTCTGCGGCATAGACAGGGCCCATGTTATTTTCTTTTATAATGTATTTTCATTTCTCTTTGGCAATTAAACATAACAGCCATTCTTGGGAAGTCCTAGAGAACACTAATATTTTATATGCCATAGTAAGATAAAAATTGTTGTGTAAATACTACTAATACTGGTTTTGATTTAGGCCATCCTTCTTGCCTGGATATGACCATGGAGCTTGTTTCTATGATTAAGACCTACCCATGGCAATGTATGGAATGTAAAACATGCATTATATGTGGACAACCCCACCATGAAGAAGAAATGATGTTCTGTGATGTGTGTGACAGAGGTTATCATACTTTTTGTGTGGGCCTTGGTGCTATTCCATCAGGTAAAGATTTAAAAAAGAAGAACACTATGTTTGAGTGATGAGGCTTGGCCAGCATCTCCTTTAGGATGCATAAGCACTATGATGGCATGAAGAGCCTACAGACCCTTATGTTCAAATATGACTGAAGCTGTGACTGCCCAGGTCATGGACGCAGCTCTTCATCCCTAGGCAGCCCAACTATAGGACAAATAAGCTGTCAGAATGCCTAGGCTACGTTTTAGAAGTATAGTTCAATTTATTAAGATGAGCCTGGTATTTTTCTACTGAAAAACCTGAAGTAATGGATCATTAATTTGTTTCAAATTTTGATTTTATTTTTATACATCATCTATTTAGAAATTTAACAAAATGATTGCTATGTCTTTATACATATTAAATGAGATTTTTATAAATTGAGGCAGCATGACAATTCCAGATAACTTTAGAATAAACACAGAATCGAATAAATCACAGTAATTGGACTAAAACATTACACAGATAATTGTGTAAATTTAGAACTTATTTGCATAGTTAACATCATATAATGCTCTATAAAATATACGCCTGAAACTAAATTTCCTGGGAGTCATTAAGAAGCAAGCAACTTAAATAATGATTTAAGGTTATGCAGTAATTCAGATCAAGTAAGTATTAAGTAGTTTGTCATTGTGCTTTAAAAACTTGAAATTTTAAAGTGCTATATCAGCACAGTACAGGACTTCAGAGAATGCTGTTAGACACACAACTGCCAGTAAACAGCCGAAAAAGGCTTTAAAAAGCTAAATTCAGTAATGGGTTTTATATTGGGATTTCTATTAAACTTTTGAAGTTTGATAGTGTTTGAATTTCAGGGAAGATTACAGTAATTTTGTAAAGGTCTGGAACATTGTGTAGCATTGCTTTCTCACCCACCCCCCTTAATTTGCACTGAATCTCACATGGCATTGATTGCATTGGTTATTTTAGGGGAAGTTTACATTTTTCCCCTTAAATTAAGAAACTTCTTTAGGGCCCTTCTCAACGCAAATCCAGAGAGGAACATCATTATTGACAGCTAAGGAAGGATAGCTTAAATGGGCTTATAATTCAATCCTGTGAAAATAAAGTGTCATTTTATATTAACTAACAATTTTTCTCCTAGGTCGCTGGATTTGTGACTGTTGTCAGCGAGCCCCCCCAACACCCAGGAAAGTGGGCAGAAGGGGGAAAAACAGCAAAGAGGGATAAAATAGGTTTTTGACCCTAATATTGTATATGCATTTAAGTGGAATATTTGGTGCCAATTTATTTACATTTTCATTTTTATGTCAATAAAAGAATTTTGAAATTAAATACAGGCTTAAAATCTGCAGTTGATTTGTTATAACCTACTCTTATCCTTGAAACTAATTCCAAGTAGAGAAATAATTCATCTTCCAAAAGAGTTTTCTTAGTACTTGGCTCTTCAAAAACTCAAGTCGAAATATTTAGCAACTTAATTAAAAATACTTAACTATTCCTCCAGTAGCCTGAAAAGTTACTATTATTTCATGAAAATTTCCTAATATGCATTGTTGTTTCTGGCCTACCATAGGCAGTATAACAAAATTATTTAACAATTAAAAAATTTTAATTGATAGGTAGCCCAAGATTAAAATGACAAACAGCCTATTAAGATTTGGTGCAGTAGGATTTAAAATTGCAATTATTGGTACAGGAACAAAAAGTTTGTAAATACCTGTGTGCCAGGAAATCCTGTTTGGATAGAAAGTACCATCCTTACCTGGGGTATGGGCTTGGGGCTTTAGTCCCAGCTCAGGGGAGTGTAAATAAATCATTACATTTCTGATGGGATTTTAGTTACTCTTGAAAACTTACACATTGAACTTCATTTAGAATCTCTAGAATAAAATTATAATGGTATCAACTTTTTAATATGATCTGTGTAACTGCATGAAAGGTTGCTCTATTTTGATTTTTATAATAAACCTAAGTCGCTGCAGTAATCTTTTTCATCACCTGACAAACTCATCAAAATGGAGTTTGAACATTTTATTGTGTATATTCCTTTTATAAGAGTTTTTATCTTGAAAACATTGTGCTTGCTGCTTTTCCAATTTAGGGGCTTTGGGGTAACTGAGGTAAAAAAAAAAAAAAAAACTGTATGGCTTTATTTTTCCATTCCTCAACTAGAAACGGTAACCAGAACTCCAGCCAGGTAAAAGTAGCTAGCAAGGTTCACAGCAAACTGCAATTAACGTCACAGATTAGGGGTATTATACTCCAGAGTATGCTAAATGACTCAGAAAAGAATTTCGAGTACCAGTTTCAAAATACTAATTAATATTGTCCAAAGAACAGATTCCTCCTCTTGAGGCGCGTCTTCCGGAGCATAAGCGTGCTTCTGACTTGGGTCTGTGCCGTCTGAGGAGTAAGCGGGCTCACCAAGTGGGTACTGATCGATTGTTTTATCATAATATACTTTCATTTCAAATTCGCTCTCATGGTGAGATGGGTGTCCATAGATCCCTATTCCCACAGGGCGTTGAAAATGTGCTGGTATAAAAACAATGTCCTGGCCACAAGTGACTGACTGTAACTCATAGTCATCGAAACTCGGATGGAGGGTGCTGTCGGATACGTACAGGTCTGCATCTCCTTTTAAGCTCTGCATCTTAAGAATGATCTTTCCCTCATGATTTAACCTCAAGTAACTATAATTCCCAGCTCCTATCTGACCCTGAACAACATGCAGAAGGATCCATTCTTCTGGGACTTCCTCCTCTTCAGAGCAGTTCGCTAAGGACAAGGCCTGCGATGCCAGAAGCATCAGCAGAGCTCTCCTCCAGGGAGCTGCTGTCCTCCGGGGAGCGGCCATGGCTGGAGGGCTCAGCTCATGGGCTTCATCTGTCAGTGCTCTGTGGGTAAAACCACAGGTGACACGCTTAGCCACGGTGCCTGCCTCCACGGGCCCCCGCCAAGCCGGCCGGGGGCGTCTCCGGGCCCCGGGAGTCTTCAAGCCGGGCGAATCCATTTCGGGCCCACCCCGGGGCCCCCGCCACCAGCCAGGGAGGGGGACAGCAGGGGAGAGGAGAGGAGAGCAGGAGACGGGAGGGGACAGCAGGGGAGAGGAGAGGAGAGCAGGAGACGGGAGGGGACAGCAGGGGAGAGGAGAGGAGAGCAGGAGACGGGAGGGGACAGCAGGGGAGAGGAGAGCGCAGGAGAGAGGAGGGGAGCGCAGGGAAGGGAAGAGGGGAAAGGAGAGAGGAGGGAAGGGCCGCCGAGCCTCCCCCAACAGCGCGGCGTCCACCAGGCGCCAGGCAGGGCCGCCATCGCACCTCCCGGACTCACCACCGCTCCCCGCAGGGCGCCGCGCGGCCCCACGAGCATCCGGACCCGGGCCCGGGCCAGGCCGGAGGAGGCGGAAGTGAGGTCGTGACCTGGAAGTGAGACAATGCGGAAGCGAGGAGCCTCTCGGAAGTGAGAACTGCCCGGAAGGGAGGTGCCAGACGGAAGTGAGGCAGATACGGGATCTAGCTGCAGCTTGGCTATCGCGAGAATGGCGAAGGGTGCGCGGTCGCTAAGGGCTGTGGCTTCGTAACCATAGCGACGCGGACGCGGACTGGGCGGAAGGGCCTGGGATCCTGGAGAGGGCGCCGAGCCCAGGCGGCACCTCACCAGACGGAACCTGACTGCGGGTGAGGGACGCGTCTGCCCGCACGCGGGGTCCGGCACCGGTTCTCTGCTCCCCTGTATGAGCGCCCGGGTCCCCGGCCCCCAACACACGAGAGACTGCGGGTCCCCGTCCCCCCACACACGAGAGACTCCGGGTCCCCGTCCCCCCACACACGAGAGACTCCGGGTCCCCGTCCCCCCACACACGAGAGACTCCGGGTCCCCGTCCCCTCACACACGAGAGACTCCGGGTCCCCGTCCCCCCACACACGAGAGACTCTGGGTCCCCGTCCCCCCACACACGACAGACTCCGGGTCCCCGTCCCCCCCATACAGGAGAGACTCCGGGTCCCCGTCCCCCCCATGCAGGAGAGACTCTGGGTCCCTGTACCACGCCCCCAGCCGGGTCCTGTCCGCAGGGGAGAGTCTGGCCCGCTGTGCCTGGAGTCAGGCAGGAGGGCTGCGCGTGAGGGTCCCGGCCGCGGTTTGTTTCTTTCAAGAACTGGGCAATTTGTGAAATGCTCCTTAAGGAAGCGTCACAATGGAGCTATATTTAGATTCGGGGGTTATTTTGTTAAAGTTTCTTTCCTCTAATGTCCTTTTGGAAAGCTTTTGTTCTCACTACTCACCTGTTGCTGCTGCCCTGGGCAGAACTCAGCCACACGGTTGCACCTAATTGCACGGGAAGGTAAGAACTGTAGTCCAGACGGAAAGGGAAGTGGGTTAGTGAAAAATGAGAAGCAGCTGCCATAGTCTCTCTTCTGGTGACCAGACACCTGTTTTGCTCTTGGTGCCACATGGACAACACACTCACTTCTCCCAAGGGACACACCTGGCCGGGGTGCCCAGCGCGACGTGGAGCTCCCCCAGGGTTGCAGTTGGGGATCCTGGTGGTCCAGAGGCCTGTGAAGTAAACAGACTCTTTGCTCCCCCGACGAAAATACAATGGTTCCGTGCGACCAGGGTTATAGTGACAGAATCTCCTTCTCAGGAACGGGAGACACCTAGCAGACACAGTCACAGCAGTTTTGAAATTCTACTGGGGTGGAGATGGAAGGACTTTCCCATTGGGACCCTGACTCTGCTACCTGGGAGGAATTCCCTGAAGCCCTGGGTTAGGGTTAGGCCTTTTCCCCCCATGGCCTCATCTGAAGTGGCCAGTGAGGATGCCATCCTAGGGGGCTGCCGCAGTCCCTTCCTGGAGCCATGAGGATGGGGACCCAGAGATGACCAGTCTTGAGCCGTCAGTGGGTCTTTATTCCTTGCTTGATATTTAAATGGCCTCATCCTTCCCATAAGAGTGTGGCGGCCTCTGGTCTGTGTGTATCTCGTCAGCCGTGTGTGCCAGTGACGCCACCATTGTCCTTCCTATGTCTCCCTTTCCAGCCCGACTCTGTTCTTTTTGTGCCTTTGCTCTTCTGGGTGCTGTATACCCTGAGCATATGTGGAACTCCGGGCTTGAGTGGGAAGGTAACCATCCTTGGCCTGATCGTTGCTGCCCTCTGACCCTCTCTCGGCATCTCGGGGCACTCGGGTTTCCCAGCCCCGCAGCCCTCAGGCTCATGCACGACACTTTCTATTCCCATCCATTTCTGCTTGCGCGCTGGGCAGTTCTCTGAGCCCATTGTGTTGGTTACGAACTTTTCCAATCATTTCCCGTAGGGTCGCACAATCAGTAAGTGTCTGGTTGGTTTTCCAGGCTGTCACAAGATAGAGTTTAACCTAATGCTTTCTCACTGCCTAACGTGAGTCCTGAGCTTTCAGCCTCCTGAACTGTTTCCACACCCACCACTCAGCCACTGGACAGCGTCTGTGGTGTCACTGGAGCCTCCTACATCAAGGTTCTGAGTTAGTCACAGGCCGTTGGAAGTGAAGAGTCTCCTTCTTGCTTAGGCAAAAGTCCAACCCAGTCTTCCTGGTCACCCCCACCCGGTGACCAGGTACCTTCTGCTGTGGCCCCTCTTCCCTGGAGCCCTCTGCCTGCCACGGGGCAGGAGAGTGGGGGGCCATGCGCGGGCTGTGACAGGACCAAGCCTGCGTGTCCTGTGAGGGGTGTGCCTTCCTGACCAGAACTCCAGAGAGGCTGCAGATGTGTCTACGCTGCGCTCCTCGTGGCTCCAGGGAGGAAGCAGAAAGGGCTTGGTGAGGAACTGTGATGGTGGTAGAAAGAAAAGCAAATGTTTTAACATATAAAAACAGATTTTGCACGAGAACCAGATTTTAGGAACCATCAGACCTCTGCGTAAAGGGGTTGGGTTGGGGGTGGACTAGCAACCTCTAGCTCACAGGCTGGGTGTGTGTGTGTTCCCTGACAATCCTTCTCCTGGCACAGACACACACACACCTGTCTGTGCCACGTTGCCATGAAGCAGGCAGGGTAGGTGTCACAGCTGAGAGCGATGAAGGCTCAGGGCTTCCTCCTGCAGGTGACCTGTGTGTCCCAGCAAACACACCTTTCCTTCCCTCCCTGATTCTGAAGTCACTGTGTCTGTGAACACTTGACTCTAGCAAGCCCCTGGGTGTCACATTCTTTATCTATTACACCTGTATCAGAAAATTAAAGCACATCCATATTTTGTCTTTATTCTGGAAATAATTCCAGTGATAGCAGATGTTGGATGTCAGGATCTTTTTTCTTTGTTTGTTTGTTTGTTTCTGCTTTTGTTTTTAAGACACATGAAGGTGTGGTATCCTTGAGGCCATGAGACAGGTCTCTAGGTCTTCAGAGATTGTCTTTCTCCTCGGACCTAGGACTTTCCACTTCAACCCCGCACTGTCCACTGCTAGTCCCATTCGGATGGGACACCTCTTTATATGTGTGCACGTGCATGTGTTTATGTGTGCAAATACGTGTGTGCATGGGTATGTATGTGCATGTCTGCATGAAATATTCATGTGTGCGAATGTGCACACGTGTTTGTGCATGTGCATGCATGGGTGTGTTTGGTCTCTTACCCCAGGAATAGCCACACCTTAACTTCTTCCTCATAAGCTGGACTGTCTTGTTCTTCCCAAGACCTTCTGGCACCACCTCACCCCTGGGCCGCCGTGGACTCTGCACCCCTGTCTTGCTGCCAGTTGCTTGTTCTTGTCTTACTTTAGGGTTCTGTCCCTATAAGACATGGATCTCTGTGTAGATGGGCGCAGGGTATTGTGACTTCATTCCTATAAGTTTTCATTTTGTAGGCACTTGTATTAGTTTGTTAACACTGCTGCACAAACTACTGCAAATCTGGTGGCTTAAAACAACATGAATCTGTTGTATTACAGTTCTGGAAATCAGAAGTCCAAAATGGGTGTCACTGGGCTAAAATCAAGGTGTGGGTGGGGCTGGCTCCCCTGGAGGCTCTGCAGGGAGTCCCCTTCTTGCCTTATCTGGTGTCTAGAGCCTGCCAAGTTCCTGGCCCAGGCTCCTTGTTCTGTGTTCAGAGCCAGTGACGGTGGCCGGTGGAGTCTGACAATGTGGCCTTATCATTCCGACGGAGTCTCCTCTCTCTTCTGGGATGTGTAAGGAAGGTAGCTGCCCTGAGCTCACAAGGACAACCCAGGGAAATCTCTGTTCTGTAGTCCCTTGGCCATGTCACCAATGTCCCCACGGACATCTTTGGGGGTATTACTCTGCCTGCCACGGTACTGTGGATATTTAGACTCTAAAGCACCCTGTTTAGCTCCTTTTATGTAATCAGTGCAAAAGGGCAACACCAAGGTGCTCTGCAATAATGTAGAAATGAGAGAAACAGTGTGACCTGCTTCCTGAGTGCGACTCTCTAAAATTTGCACTCTGTGGATTGGAGAAGAGATGTCCGTTATTTTCAGAGTTGTTTGAGAGAAATTTTGGTTGAAAGCCTAGAGAAATCCACAATTGAAGTTTCAGCATTTGATTTCACATGTTTAAAAACAGAATTTATGCCCCCTACCCCCACCTGTTCTTCCCCATCTCGGTAAATAGTATTTCTCCTTGTTCAGGCTGAAAAATGGAGTCGTTTTTGATTCCTCTAATTCTTATCCGTCCTAACTCACTAGCCCACTGTCTGTGTCTACACTGGGGCAGCCCTGATCTCAGGCTCTCCTGGCAGCAGGAATATCACCTGTCCTGCCCCACCTGTCCTGCATGCTCCCCATCCCCACGGCCCTGCAGCCCCACCATGCCTTCCCTGCACCTTGCCCTTTGCCCTCTTCTTGCCTGGGCACGTCTGACCTCAGACCTCCTCCTGGTGTGAATATCGTGGCCACCTGACTTTCTCACTGTGGTCTCAGCTAAGGCAGGCCCTGCTCAGGCCTCACTCCTCTCTGCCCTACTTCCTTCTTTTATTTTCTTCATAACCCTCCTCCATGGAACAAATGCTTGCTCTCAGTCATGTGCCAGACACTGTTCTAGGCATGGAAAAGAAAACATTGAATTATGGAGGCAAAGTCCTGCCCCCGTGGAGTTTAAAATCCCGTGGGGAGACAGTGCACAGGCGCTGACGCTTGCGTCTGCACAGGCCGAGGGTCAGCCTTGGCGCCTGGTGCTGAGACCCCAGTCTTGACAGACCATGATTAGGTTGGAATCACACCCAGTGCTGCCTACAGGGTGGATTGACTGGAAATGAAGTGCTTCTTTTAAATCGCATCTTTAAATACTTACATTAGAGGCAGTTAGTTTTAAATTGTATTTTCATTCAGAGTCAGAGGCAGCAGAAACTATTATATTTCCTAGAGAAATTAAAAAAAAAAAATCAAAAATAAAAGCTCACACAGACAAAACCAGATTACTTCTATTCAAAGAAAGTGCAGTCTCTTTCCCAGCCTCAACATGGTGTTCACGCGTCACGGGAGATTCCCTAGTTAGCACTCTCTTGAATGCCGACCGCGTGAAAGTCAGTGAGTGTGGAAAAGTGCCACAGACGCAGACTGAGCCGGGCTGCCAATATGTGCCCTCTGGTAGCTAGAAGAGAGGATGTTGCATGTTCCCAACACAAAGAAATGGTAAATGTTTGAGATGACGGGGGTGCCTATCACCCTGATCTGATCATGGCACATCGTGTTGCAATGTCACTATGTAGGGGTATGTCACTATGTATCCCTTAATATGTACAGTTATTATGTCATTTAATATGTACAGTTATGTCAGTTAAAAAAATCAAGCCTAAAAAATGCTACTGTCTCATAGGATTGATGTGAGGAAGACCCATATATCAAATCAGTGCCTAGCATTATAAATGCTTAATTGTGAAAGTGTAACATGAATATTTTTAAAATTCCCTGGAAACAAATTTTAAACACTGCAAACTTTTCTTCCCAAATTAATAACTCTCTAAGTAACATAACAGATGAGCCAGGATATATTTACCATGTACAGTGCCAAAATACAGTCTATTTTTCTTTGTCAAAATTAGTAGTAGGGAGAATACTTTTTGTCATGGCAATGGAAAAGAAGCCAAACTCTGTAAAATAATTTTAAAGAGAATTATTCTGAGCTAAATTTGAGGACCATGTCCCAGAGCCACATCCAAAAGGCTTGAGCAAGTGGACTCGCTGGGGTTGGGTTACAGTTTGGTTTTATACATTTCAGGGAGACAGGGGTTACAGGTAAAGTCATAAATCAATACGTGGAAGGCATACATTGGTTTGGCCCCAAAAGGTGGGCCATTTCAAAGGGAGGCTTACAGGTTATAGGTGGACTTAAAGACTCTTTGGCTTGTAATGTGTTAAAGACATGAAGCTTTGTCTAAAGGCTTGCAATGTTTTAAGATAAGGGAGTCTGTTCATCAGAGACAAGCCACCAGACATATTTGTTGTGTAAATTGAAGACCTGCAGGTATGTCTTGTATACCTTTCGGCCTGTCAATGAGTTACAAAAGGACATTTCCAAGAAGGGAAGAAGGCATGATGAGGCATGACTGACCCTGCCCCCTGCTCATGGCCAGCAAGTTAGTTTTAGGGTATACCTTGGCCAGGAGGGAGTCCATTCAGTCACTGGGTGGTGGTGGGACGTCAGATTTTATTTTAGTGCACAGTGAAGTATCCTTAAATCAGGTGTCTGGAATTCTGTCTGGATGACTTGCTGCAAGGACTAAAAGGGCTCGCAAGTATCACTATGCTCACGGTTACAGCTTCTTGCAGTGAGAGGACACAGATTGAAGTTAGCAAAGGAAAAGGCAGTCAGTGTGGAGACACCTCCCGGGGAGTCTCACTATTGTGGGGCTTTTTACACAATGGTCTCAAACAGCTAACTATTGCCAGGTGTACGTTTGGCAAATAGGTTATTATTGGGAAAATATTATTTAGGAAGGTATTTTAATGAGCATGGTTCAGAACATTCTGTGGGTGCTTTATTAACAGATGTGAGCTTAATATCATTTGCTTTAAAGTTTTTCAGAGTTTGTGGTTATCCAGCAAATTTGGGTCTTACAACTCATATGTCCAAGCAGATTTGACATTATTTTCTAAAGTCTTTTTGTGGTCTCACCTGGTGGCCCCTGTTGGCTTCTCTCATGTGGAGGGATGGCCCCGTGTTCAGTGCAGGGCCCTGTTAGGACACGCAGTTTCCGGAGCAGGTGTCACAAGGTCTCAGCGTGGCTGTGAGTTCAGTGTACAGGTTTGCTTTCTGTGGGGAAAAGAAGAGCTGCCCCTGGGCGCTTGTTTGGGAACAATCCCTGGGTGTCTGGTGTGGATATCAACTGGCACTGGGTTGCAGAGCAATGTCCACGGAGGCTTACCTCTTCCCTGCGTATTTGGATTTTGCAGGAGGATCTATCTCCAGGGCTTCCTGTGCATGTTTGTCATCTGCCTTTGGGGAGTATTTTCCATTCACGTAGTCAGCTAGTGCTGAATGCCTGTTGGGGATTAGGTGCCAGGGAAGAGGAGTGAGAAACACACACAGCTTTGGCTTTCCCAGAGCTAGACGTTAATCAGGTATAAATTATTAATACACACCTGTGTCTGTGTATTTGTGTGTGTGTGCGTGGTCTCACGTGTGTAGATAGTGCTGTCTGTAATTACCAGTTGTGATAAAAGTTAAGAAGGAAATGTGCAGGGGCCGTGCGAGTCTGCACCGGGCAACTGAAATAACAGGGTGGTCTGGGGTCCTGGTCGTGGCTGCTTCTCCGGATGCTGACGGGTGTGCAGGAGCCGGTTCTGCCTGTGCCGCCCCAGCTGCTGGCAGACGGGGAGTCAGGAACTGCGAACTCTGACCCGGTTTTGACTAGAAACCCTTACTTTAGCATTTACAAATGGAACCCGGGTGCTTCCACTGACTAGCGTTATCACTTACTAACCTCTTTGGTTTGGTTTTGTTTTTCACCTGTAAAATGGGGGGGAAAAGTGATCTGACATTTAAAGGTTTATTGTAAGAGTGATATAGTCTAAATAGTGAGACACACAAACCTACATGTTAGTGTCCATGAAAGGGATTTTTAAACCACAAATTGGCATGGAAATGCTGTTATTTGCAAAGCATGCTGCTAAATTCTATATTCTTGTGCAATACAAGGGTATATCGAAAAAAAGACAAAATTTGATCACAAGTTGATGAGTGCATTATTAAAATTTTTAAAACTATACTTTTGATGTATTATTTCTTCCATCTGTTAAGAAGTTTTGTGCTTCTGGGAAGCAGTGGGTGGGTGTGATCAGCTTCGTTTCATCCCTTCAGGACACACCTGCCTGGCACCTGCTGCTCTAAAGTCATAAAGTCTACAGAGCAAGTCACAGTTGTTTTGAGACATTGAGCTGTTTTTCATATGACACTCACTGTATCTCGGCAAATGCAAAATAAGTAAGTAAAACTCAAATTGTGAATTGGAGATGTGTGCTTTAAAATATTTAACATACGCCTTTATTTTGCTTTTCTTCAAATATTGAGACTTTTTGAGCTTTTAAAAATCACCTCTTATTTATTATAACAGAGAACATTTGTTCTATGGGAGATCATTGAATATACAAGGTCTCTAACTGTATTTGGAGAACCTTATCAATTATATTACCCCACTTGCCTGGTAACTTGGCTTTATAAATGCCAACAATGCTTTATAAAAGTAAGGGTTTCTAATCAAATCTCTTATTGAAAATGCTTACTGACTTCTTCTGAATTATTTTTTGATAGCTAATCTGAAGGAGTCCATTTCATTTGTTTCATTTGTCTTACTAAATCATGACCTCCACACCTGCACGCAGGGAATGGTTACAGCTACTCCATCACAGCACAGAGGCAGAACTCGGTGATTACTCACGCTCTGAACATCAGACCGTTCAGTTAGGTGCCCGAGAGGCATAAAGGAGAATGTCCACTGGGTGAATTGGAAGCCCACAGTGCCCCTTCTCTTTCTGCAACCCTGTCTGAGCCAGTGTCCTCCAGACAGAGCATCCCGCCAGGCAGTCTGACTGGGGCTCCACGGCTCACTGCCTCTGAAGGGTGGAGAACTTCAGATGGTGGGAAGTGCCGAGGGGGGTGGAGAGGGCGGCCAGGAAGGGGTCTCAGGGGCCTCCGCTGAGCCCTGGGGAGTGGTAAGAGCTTGAGGAGGAATGGACGGTATGGACGGGACACATCCTGAGGCAAGAGAGGCTCTGCTGCATTGTCAGGGGCAGGAGAATGTCATGGTGGTGGGGCAGCAGCAGAGGAGGAAGACCCTGCTGAGGTGGAAGGAGACAGAGGTCAGTGTGCGGGGCCTCCTCAGAGCCAGCCTGGTGACCACGCGGTGGGCCTTGGAATCCATGGCCTCATGGTGGCTGGATGGTGGGTCCCTGCCCATGGCTCTGCCAGAGCCCACGGCTGGGCCTTCGGTGCATCTGTTGCCTGCAGTGGGGTGGGGGGTGGAGGGGACTCCGGGACGACCCCAGGCCTACTGCCATGCATATCTGAAGTGAGTACCTTTATGAAGTTATTAAGTGTAGAGTGGGAGAAAGATCTGAAATACTTATTTTTATCCATGTTTCATTAACTTATGCTTTAGGAGACATAGCCAGTGAGTCACTGATTACATAACCTGTGGTAACTTAACTCTAATAATATAGAATGTTGTGAAATGGTTGAATAAATCCCAGGTTGGTTGTAGGAGATCTGGATTTATATTGCAGTTTCCACTGACTAATTTGCCGTGGTCAATTTAGAAAATCACCTGTGTCTCAGTCACTGACAATCGCAGTTGGTTTCAGTGACCAGCTTTTGAACACTGTACTCAGTACTGACGCCATACCAGTGCCTCGGCGATTGTCCTGTGATTCTTACCTTTGCAAGGGGATTGTTCTTATGGGACAGTTGTGGAAGCAGACCAGTGAGTCTAAGAAAAGGCTGTTGACGGGCATCGTGGGGTTTGAATCAAGATCTGTTTACTTGGAAAGCCCATGGGAGGGACGGGGCAGTTATGGATGTGCAACATCCAGGATTTCTCCTCTTCCCTTTTACTGAGGGTGGAGGAGGTGAATAGGTAGGTGTCATGAGGTATGATGCGAGGAGTGTGTGTGTGGGCGAGTGATCATGTTAGTGACTGTGAATAGATGATATACCTGTAGTCATCTTACATGTACTTTGTGTTCGCAGATTGAAGATGGAAAAACCCCAAGAGAGTTTCTCAACTAACGATGGCCGTGTAACTGATATAGTCACAGAAAAGTTCGTGGTGGAATCCAAGGAGTCTGCCTCTCACGTTCAGCTCGCCTGCAGCATGCGGTACTGTGCTTTCCCTCTGCACGGAAACGGACTCTGCATACGGAGCACCCTGAACCCTTCTCATCAGGTATTTAACAAGTTCTGTGTCCAGTGTCGTTCCCCATGTCCTGGATGCTGTTTGGGCATTGCTCTCTGTGCACTCAGCTACCAACTATGTGAGAAAAATGTGGATAAAACAAAAACATCATATTAAGTGTTTATTTTTAGAAAACAAATGGCCTGGAGTTCCTTAATTTTTTTAAAAAAATATATTTCATCAATTAAACATGAGTAAGAAAAGGTTCATCTTATAATCAAGACTCCTACATTCAGATCTCCAGCTTGACGTTTCTCACCTAAGTACGAAATACTCAGAAAAAAGTGTTCTTCATATTAAGTGCACGTTGTAATGACTGTGACTCGGTGCTTCCTCTCCATCAGTTAGTGCCCGTTCTCTCTCACCAAGGCAACTTCTGATACCAGAGGCTGGTTTTGCTTACTTTTGCTTGAACCTTATGTAAATGGGATGATACATTGTGCATTCTTTTGTGCTAGTTTCTTTGATTGGCCATTGCATTTGTGAGAGTCACCCATGTTGTTCATTTTCACTGCTGCATGGTATTTCGTAGAACAGATGGGTTGTACTCTGTCCTGCCATGTGGAATGACGTCCTACACTGAGCTGCATGGAGTCACATGGTACAGATAGACCACAATCTGTCTGTTCTTCTGTTGGTAGATAATTGATTTATTTCAGTTTTTTAGTTGCCACAAACATTCTTTTATGTGTCTCTTTTTTTTTTTTTTTTTTTTGAGACAGGGTCTCACTCTGTTGCCCTGGCTAGAGTGCCGTGGTGTCAGCCCAGCTCATAGCAACCTCAAACTACTGGGCTCAAGCGATCCTACTGCCTCAGCCTCCCACGTAGCTGGGACTACAGGCATGTGCCACCATGCCCGGCTAATTTTTTCTATATATTTTTAGTTGGCCAATTAATTTCTTTCTATTTTTATTAGAGACAGGGTCTCGCTCTTGCTCAGACTGGTTTCGAATTCCTGACCTTGAGGGATCCTCCTGCCTCGGCCTCCCAGAGTGCTAGGATTACCAGCATGAGCCACTGCGCCTGGCCCTTTTATGTGTCTTTTGGTGCACACATGTGCAACTGCTGACTTATAGGGGATGTGTATTACAGTTCACGGTTGAATGACAGGCATCTGAACTGCACAGGTACACTTATACGTGGATTTTTTTTTCAAGCAAATGTGGATCAAACATACAGTATTTTTCAGATAAGAAACCCATATATAAAGAGTGCTGACTTTCTGTCAGCAGGTTGCACAGGACCAACTGTGGGAGTTGATGTGCACAGATCTTATGATACGCAAGGGTTCGTGAAACCTGGCCTCTGCACACACTGGGGGACGGCTGTCTTTAGTAGATACTGCCAAGCAGAGTTCCAAAGTGCTTGTACCAATGCATATTTCTTCAAATGATGTATAAGGGTTCCAGCTGATCCACATCCTCACCTACACTTGCTGCTTTTAATTTTAGCCCTTCTGGCGGGTGTCGTGGTACCTGATTATAATTTGCAATTCCATGATGATTAATGAGGTTTAACACCTTTTTGCCCATTTAGTAGCCATTTAGATGTTCTCTTTGTGAGGTATATGTTCAAGTTTCTTGCCTTTTTTCTATTGGGTTATCTGTATTTTTCCTATTGATTTGAAGGAATTCTGTGTATGTTATAAATATAAGCTTTTTGTCAATTTAGATTAGTTTGCATTTTCTAGTTTTATGTAAATGAAATCATATACTAGTTACTCTTTTAAAAATGTTTAAATTGACATAATAGTTGCACATATTTGGGGGTATGTGTGGTATTTGATACATATATATAATGTGTAATGATCAAATCAGAGTAATTGTGATATCCGTCACCTTAAACATTTACTTTTTCTTAGAGTTGGGAACAATACAATTCTTCTCTTCTAGCTATTTTGAAATATAGAATAAATTATTACTAGCTATAGTTTACCTACTGTACTATCAAATACCAGAATTTATTCCCTCTATATGATTGCATTTTTGTTCCCCCAAACCAACTTCTCTTCATCCTCCCGCCTCCCCGCCCAGTCCCGCCTCCCCGCCCAACCCTGTAACCATCATCTTACTCTCCACTTCAACGAGAGCCACTTCTTTATCTTCCATGTACCGTAAGACCCTGTCGTGTTTGTTTTTCTGTGCCTGTGTTATTAGTTTTTTAACATAGTGACCTCCAGTTCCACCCACGTTGCTGCAAATGACAGGATTTTATTCTTCTGTATGGCTGAACAACCTTCCACTGTGTATATACCACGTTTTCTTCCTCTATTCTTCTGTTGTTGGACACTTGGGTTGATTCCATATCTTGGCTATTGTGAATAGGGCTATAGTCAACACGGGCTTGCAGATACCACTTTGATACACGGATTTCCTTTCTTTTGGATGTATGCCCAGCAGTGGGATGGCTGGATCATGTGGTGGTTCTATTTGCAGTTTTCTGAGGAACCTCCACACTGTTCTCTGCAGTGGCTGTGCGGATTGACACTCCCCCAACAGTGTGTGGGGATCCCCTTTCTCCACATCCTTGCCAGCATTCATTATATTTTTTCAGTCTTTTTATTAATAAATAATAATAGCCATCCTAATAGGGTGAGATCATATCTTATTGTGGTTTTAATTTGCATTTCTCTGATAATTAGTGATATTGAACAGTTTTCATATACCTATTGGCCATTTGTATGTCATCTTTTCAGAAATGTCTATTTCATCTTTTTGCCCATTTTTAAATTCATTTTTCTGCTATTGAGTTGAGTTACTCATATAGTCTGGTTATTAATCCCCTGTCAGATGGATAGTTTACGAATATTTTCTCCCATTTTGTGGGTTGTCTTTTCACTTTTCTGATTGTTTTCTTTGCTGTACAGAAGTGTTTTTAATGTGATATAATCCCATTTGTCTATTTTGGTTTTGTTGCCTGTGCTTTTGAGGTCTTGCCCAAAAAACCCTTGCCCAGATCAATGTCCTTTAGTGTTTCCCCAGTTTTCTTTTAGTAGTTGTATACTTTCAGGTCTTACATTTAAGTCTTTAATCCATTTTGAGTGAATTTTTTATGCATTGTTAAAGATGAGGGTCTAGTTTAATTCTTCTGCATATGGAATCCAGTTTTCCCAGAACCATTTATTAAAGAGATTGCACTTTCCCTGGTGCATGTTCTTGGTGCCTTTATCAAAAATGAGTTGGCTATAAGAGCAGGGCTTTATTTCTGGGTTCTCTATTCTATTCCATTAGTCTATGTTTCTGTTTTATGTGAGTACCATGCTGTTTTGGTTACTATAGCTTTGTAATATTATTTGAAATGAGGTAGTGTGATGCCCCCAGGTTTGTTCTTTTTGCTCAGGATTTCTTTAGCTGAGGTCTTTTTTAGTTACCTATGAATTTTAAGATTATTTTTTCTATCTTTGTGAAGAACGTCATTGGCATTTTGAAAGGAACTCCATTGACTCTGTAGATCACTTTGGGTAGTATAGACATTTTAACAATATTAATTCTTCTAATCCATGAGCATGGGATACATTTTCATTTTTTTGTGTCTTCCATTTCTTTTATCAGTGTTTTATAGTTTTCTCTGTAGATCTTTTACTTTTTGGTTAAATTTATTCCTAAAGATTTTATCTTTAGGAATATTTTTTTTTAGCCCTTGTAAATGGGATTGCTTTCTTGATTTCCTTTTCTTTTTTAGATGGATTGCTGTTAGGATATATAAATGCTACTCATTTTTTTATATTGACTTTGTATCTTGTAACTTCACTGAATTTGTTTATCAGTTCTAAGAGTCCTTTGGGTTAGGACTTCAGGTTTCTCCCTATATAGGGTTATGCCATCCACAAACAAGGATAATTTGGCTTTTTCCTTTCTAATTTGGATGCCCTTTATTTCTTCCTCTTGCCTAATTGCTCTGGCTAGGTCTTCTAGTACTATGTTGCATAACAGTGGTGACAGTGGACATTCTTGTCTTAGTCCAGATCTTAGTGGAAAGGGTTTCATTTTCTCCCCATTCAATGTTATATGTGGGCTTCTCATATATGGCCTTTACAGTGTTGAGGGATGTCCCTTTTATACCCAATTTATTGAGAGTTTTTATCATGAAGGCATGTTGAATTTTACTGAATGCTTTTGTAGCAACTATAGAAATGATCATATGGTTTTTGTCCTTGCTTCTGCTGATGTGTCATTCATTACATTTATCAGTTTGTGTATACTGAACCATCTCATCCTCTTGTTAACTCCTGCCTTATTGTGTTGCTTATTCTTCAAGTTTCACCTCAGCTGTGACCTCTTCTGCATGTATTGGAGACATGATGCACATCTGTTTAATTAAGAAATAACAAAATGGTAGAATGAGGGAATCTGCATCATTTTATTCGTGTGTGACAGTGAGTAGGAGTGAAATGTTCACTTGAGAGAATATGTAGCAGTACACAAGCAGGAATTTTAATGAATAAATTCAAAATGAATATACAGGATAAATATATTTGAAAAATTCAATCTATTCAATTTCTTAGGTTTGAGGTTTTGTTGTGCTCTTTTATTTTTTAAATATTATCTATAATATGTGATATTTTTGTTTTTTGTTAATTTTCTCAGTTTCTAATCCTACAAGGACACCATCAGTCCATTACCGCCATAGCTTTCGGAAATGCGGTGGATCCTCCGCTTGTACTGTGCTCTGCGTCACAGGATTACGTTGTCGTGTGGGACCTGGAAGAATGCAGGGAGAGAGTGCTTCAAGGTAAATGGAAACTTAAAACATATTTTTAAAAATGCACAAGGGAACAACTCATCCTTAAGTCTACTAGGTCACACTGGGGCCTTGGAATGATTTTTTGCTTCCTCAACCCAAAGCAGGCATTCTACCTGGGTATTTCGTGTGGAAGCAAACCAAGCCCCCAAACATGCTGACCTTTGTTTGTGGTAAACTGATATTATGGGCTCATTAGTTTTAATCTTATGTAATTTCTTATTTTTAAAACGGAATTTTGTGTAAACCCTAAAACATGTAGGCAAGTTGAAATATTCTTTCCTTACGTGACAAGTCTTCCTTGAGCACATATTTCAGGCTGGAGACACACAGCCCCAGCCCCTGTGGAATTTACAACTTAGAGCTTGAGACTGATAGAAAAACCATGTGAGCTGGAAGGTGAATGGTTGTAAATTGTGGGACTTGCAGTGGACAAAGCAAATAAGGTGTTGGCAGAGAGAACAGGGTGGGAAGCATTTTATGTAAGGAGATCTCTGGGAGTGACTTTGGATGAACATGAGGAGGGGTTGGACGGGGAAGGGGATGTTGTGTGTTGGGGTGGGGCATGTGTGGAGGGTGTGTGTCTCGTCCACGGGTCCAGGCTGTGGACACCTGGCTGTGGACGTGTCCATGCTGCCCATCGCAGGCCACATGAGGAGCGCTTGCTATTGCTCGCTGGCTGGGAGCTGCTTGGGTGGCTCCACTTGTAGCGGGGGTCCTGGGGACAGCTTTGTTCCACACACTTTTCGCCTGGGACTGGGCTGGCTGGGGTCCTGGAGGGCACAGCAGCCCCCAGGCCGAGGCTCAGATGGGCACTCCTCCCTCCTGGTTCCCCGATGTTGGCCAGAGCAACCATGTGGCCCAGCCTGGACCTGGGGTGGACACGAGGGAGACACAGAATGTGGATGTGATGCTGGCAGAAGGTGACGAACCGACACCTGTGGTGACACTCATTCTAGGGCTGACCCCTCGAGGGACTGTCGTGGGCACACTGTTGGGAAAGGTGCTGTGTTTAAGGTGGAGCCCAGACGACCGCGCCGTTGCCGTGTGTGCTGGAGACAAAATACTCCTGCTGGGTGTCGAGGTAAGGCCGAGTTCACATGCGCAGTTGCTGGAGCCAAGAGCCACGGGACCCTGCACGCCTTTTTTCTGCCCTCCTTTTAACTTTTCTGCCCTTATTTATAGACAATATTTTAAGTGTAGCATATTTTTATAAATATGTTAGGGACAACAAAGGAAAACATATCTTTATCTTGCAATTGGAAAGCCACTAGAATCAGGTGCTGTTTTTTATATAAATCATAAAAACTTTATGTGCAATCTGAGTATCAGGGATGACCACAAACATGTTCAGTAAAACATTCACTTCTTGGGTATTTTCCTACCGTAGTGATCTCTTCAAAACCCTCATAGCATGGCACTTCTGTTTATCTCTTTTATCAAAATTTGTTTGACATCAATAACTAGACTTTTCTTGTGTATTTCTTAATCGGGATTAGTTTAATAAACATGTTTTAAATCTCCTGTTTGACTGGAGCTGGTGCGCTTTGCCTATGGCAACACCAAGTGCTGGAAGGAGGAAGTGGGGTTACTGGGGATTTGGGGGACCTTTTTGTTCCCTCTGGATTCCTGCTCTGCTTGATTCTTGAGACTTGTTTGGGGATTATCGAAAGCCTGGCAAGATGTCTTGGCTTCAGTTAGCAGAGCTGTTTGCCTGCTATAGCTTTCCTTGCTGTAGCCCCTTTAAACATTTAGGTTGGGAAAAGTGCTTTGTATAAAATATTAAATAATTATTATGGGTCTAGTGTATGGTAGGAATTTTGGGGATACTTTTTTGTGTTGAAACGATTTTTGGCCTAATTGTAGAAATTAAGGCTCACAAATAAAAACGTTCACATCGTAAGTTAAGCCACAGAGGAGGGGGTGTGCCTCGGAGGGAGGTGGAGAGGCTTTAGTCATCTCTGCTGAATAGTCTGCGGAAGTCTCCTGGATAAGTTGGTATTTGAGCCGTAAATATTTGAAACGTTTTATTGTAAACACCTTGTGGTGGTTAAATGGATTAGCATTAGGCTACCTCACCATATATAACTAAACTAACCATTAAGATGAAAAGAATTTAACACTGTTATGTTGGGAAAAGTAAAACCAAAATGAATTAGGGAGATATGGAGTGTGTGGAGTGAGGAACGGTGCCCCAGAGAGAGCAAACGATTGTTTTACTTTGCAAAGAGAGAGCAAAGCTTGTTTTACTTTGGTAACTGTGACAAAGAGTAGATGCTGAAGGAGACGAACACAGGGCAGATCCATTGTGATTGACAGGGAAAGGGAAGGGACAGAAGGGAAGAGAAAGGTGGAGAATGAAGGTTGAAGCACCCGTTCTGCTGAGTCCTGGCAGCAGAAACAGCCTTAGGACAGCGTGCAAGATGTGGGCAGGAGGAAGACAGGAAGTCCTGAGGAGGTACCTGCTTCCTAACTTGCTTAGGGTCGGCTTTTACAATTGCTGGCAATGTGGCCTGTGATTGCATAGGTTCCCCTTTTAGCCCAGGCATCTTTATTTTAAAGTCTAGGTTTATATATAGATAGTTCCAAATTTGGAAGCAGGAATAATATAAAATTATTTTCTGTGATATACATATAACTTGCTGATGATAAGAATTACCAGGAAGTTCAGTGACTGCCTTCCTTCCCAAATTGTCTCAGAATTCATCTGTACTGGCCGAGCTGGAGGGCCACCTGGGTCCAGTGACTGCGGTGGAATTCTGTCCCTGGCAAGCAAATACCATCATCTCAGTGTCTGAGGACAGAAGCTTTAAGGTAAGGGGATGGACGTTAGACTGTTTTTAGATGTAACAGGTGCTTTGGAAAAATATCTGTGGGCACATTGATGCAGTGGCTTTTGGTCTATGGTCACTGCCACATAAGTGGTTCTATTTCTGCCACAATTCTATAAGATGACTATTGTCCTGATTTTGATATAAAAATGAAGCAGTGATGTTTTGGCTGGGGTCACTGGGCCGAAGAGCTGGGCTTGGATCTTGTAGGACAAGCCTTTGGCCTCCACTTTCCCAAACCTGAATCCAAGGGCCAGGAGAAACAGCCATTAACATTACTATCCCACGTATTCAGGGACCCAGACGCCAGAAGAACCAGATCTCTACTACTACATGTCCACATCCGAACTAAATTCGCTTTAAGAATAATATAACATGCAGTCGTTCCATCCACACCCCCCCCCCACACAAAAAAACACACAACACAAAACAACACCCACACCCCCCCCCCCCTCCTCTGAACCTGAGTGTGGCACTGTGCCTTAGGTGTGGACCTGTCACATAATCACCGCGTGAGGATCAGGTTGGGATCTGCCACGTGAGTGCACCCGTGGAGGGTCAGGGTGTGGATCTGTCACATGAGTGCACCCATGAGGGTCAGGGTGTGGATCTGCCACGTGAGTGCACCATGAGGTCAGGGTGTGGACCACTCCATTTATTTACCACTTCTAGCTTAGAAGTGTTGACTACATGATTAGGAGCTGTTCTCTAACTTGTCTTATTTTGTGTTTTTCCAATTTTAAATCATAGGTGTTAATTTGGAAGTGTTAGTTTTATTCTAAATGATTATGACATCTTCTATTGTGTTCTACAATTTCATCATATATGTTTCTACTGTTCATTTTTCTGTTTAGTAATCCATTTACTTGATTAATATATACTAGGTAGAATTGTTACCTTTGACACTAACACAGCTGACTTTTGCAATACTGGCACATTTTTATAACCTCTTCTGAAGAATCTTATGTTTGTCAAAGGTCTGGACTGTTGTACAGGTCGATTAATAAACCCGTCATCCGTGTTAACGGTAAATTCTCAACACTGTTCCATTCGCATAACCACATGCCCGCTGGTCGTGCGTTGCTGTTCCTGAGGTGGAAGCTGTGCAGCGCAGCGTGCATCTAGCCAGACGGTCCTCTCAGCGTTCCATGACACAAGATGCCGATCATACGATACGTTAAGCAGTGGTTAGAGATTTCCTTTGGTGCTGGGCCTTGGAAGCAGAGGGTTGCCCACTAGTGACACCCCTGAGCATATCTTGCTGCACTCCTATCTGTCCTCCTCAATCATGGGACAGGTTTCTGCCATTTATTTTCTCCTCTTGTCGGTGCACATTCTCATTTCCTCGGACAAGAGAAATTGAATACCAGACTAGTTTTTCTTAAGATGAGGAACAGCGACTCGAAATGTCCTCAAGAATCCACGACCTCCTAGTGGAACTGGTAAACGTATTATTATATTTTCTCAACAGCTTCACATTCTTTCCTGAGTTATTTATCTCTGTGGTGGACTGGTATTTTTAGCAACTTGAATATATTCTTTATCTCAGGGAAAAGCCTTTCTTGGAAGGATGTTGAAAATATTTTCTGAAACAAATTATGTGGGATTATTATTTACTTCAGACAAGTGTAACACTTGATCTTTTGTTATTTAAAGAGTATTTTTTGTATCCATTATCTTTCCCAAATTCTTGACAGTTTAGAGAAAAGTTTTTAAATGAAATGACATTTAGCCAAATGTTTAGAAAACAAGACATCCATTCTTAGTTGTTGTTTTCCATCACTAAGTCCTAATATTATTATTTCTCGGCTGGCTCAGGAGTCACTATATTGCTATTGTACTCGTCCAGGTTGTAGAGCTGCTGAGAAAGTACGGTGCAGGGTTGTGGGTGTGAACTTGTTTCCAGTGTCGTGTCTCAGGCTGTGAGCGCTGGAGGTGACGGTGCAGGGTGTGGTGCGAACCTGTCTCCAGTGTCGTGTCCCAGGTTGTAGAGCTGCTGGAGGTGACAGTGCAGGGTGTGGTGCGAACTTGTTCCCAGTGTCGTGTCCCAGGTTGTAGAGTTGCTGGAGGTGACAGTGCAGGGTGTGGTGCGAACTTGTTCCCAATGTCGTGTCCCCTGTTGTAGAGCTGCCGGAGGTGACAGTGCAGGTGTGTGGTGTGAACACTGTCCCCAGTGTCGTGTCCCAGGTTGTAGAGCTGCCGGAGGTGACAGTGCAGGGGTGTGGTGTGAACACTGTCCCCAGTGTCGTGTCCCAGGTTGTAGAGTTGCCAGAGGTGACGGTGCAGGGGTGTGGTGTGAACACTGTCCCCAGTGTCGTGTCCCAGGTTGTAGAGCTGCTGGAGGTGACAGTGCAGGGTGTGGTATGAACAGTGTCCCCAGTGTCGTGTCCCAGGTTGTAGAGCTGCTGGAGGTGACGGTGCAGAGTGTGGTATGAACAGTGTCCCCAGTGTCGTGTCCCAGGTTGTAGAGCTGCTGGAGGTGACGGTGCAGGGTGTGGTATGAACAGTGTCCCCAGTGTCGTGTCCCCAGTTGTAGAGCTGCTGGAGGTGACAGTGCAGGGGTGGGGTGTGAACACTGTCCCCAGTGTCATGTCCCAGGTTGTAGAGCTGCTGGAGGTGACGGTGCAGGGTGGGGTGTGAACAGTGTCCCCAGTGTCATGTCCCCGGTTGTAGAGCTGCTGGAGGTGACGGTGCAGGGTGGGGTGTGAACAGTGTCCCCAGTGTCGTGTCCCAGGTTGTAGAGCTTCTGGAGGTGACGGT